ATGGTCAGAATTACTTGAAACTTGGTATTAATGCTCTTTAATACAATTAGTTAAACATGTGTTTTAGTATTTTTCAAAATTAATTTTATAAGGGGGTAAAATAGCGGACGAAAGTTTGTATGAAACCTACCATTTTAGAGTTTTTTTTGTAGTTTTAGCGAGAGCGAAGTCACGGGTTCTGCTAATATTACATAATATAAGACTCTGCAAATAAAAAATTGTTGCAATTTATCTCTATAAAATTATTTTTATCACAAAGCTTATTTACGTTTTAGTAAAAAATAAAATAAAAAAAAGTTTTTATTTCTTAATCATTTTTACATTTTGTGTTCGACTTTTTTTCTTTTTAAAAAAAAAATTATCGACATAATATGATCGTAAATTCTTTTTGCTTTACCAGTCTCTGGTTCCTATCAAATATCATGAATATACAACACAAACTAATTACCTGAATTATGGTTTATCAAAATCAGCAAAATTGGTAATTATGGAATTTAAAAATATTTTTTACTATATTTTTCTTTTATAAATTTTTCAAACATTATGCCTTATAGATATTGACATTTAATGAATATTTTTCATTTGAATTATTTCACCTTGTGAGATTCTGATCTATAATATTAATTTATTATGCGAAAAAATAACATGAAAGTAATCGCATTAATACACCCACTATCAATTATACCTAATCTTCATAGAGCACTGCTATTTGAACCGTTTTCAAGGCGAACGCACGTGACACAATCCCGGAAGCACTTTCTACTCCCGGCACTATGCTGATTAAATTTAATAAAACTATTTCAACTAAATGTCAAAGTACCTACTATTTCTTCAAACTAATTTATAATTTTATATAGATACATTCTGTTTTAATGGCATTTGTGATAACATCAATTATGTCGTGTAGCCTTATATTTTCAGAGTCATTTTGAGTTACAGTATTGAGTTTTAAATAAATGCTTTTCAGTTCTTCTGTGACAGTTTTTTGTAGAGTTTAGTATATTACCCAGAACCCAGATAGTTTGTAGGTTACTGTATAGAAATTATTGTTCTACAGATATGTGTATATACTCTTATACCAATAGAAGCAATAGCATTAAAGCAGGAGTCGTATAGACTTTGTGAGAGTAGGTCATATAACTGATATATTTAACTCTATTAAACTGTTTTGAGAAAGCCTTCTTTTCAAAACACGATTTCACGATTTTCATATATTTATAAAATAATAATTATTGCTAAGAATACTTCATAAACGAAAATATGAATTGAAAGACTTTCTCTGATAGCGTTTTAACGAAGCACTTAGTCAAACAAAATTGAGCGTCATCTACTCTATCTCTGGATTTACTGAACCGATTTAGATGAAATTTGGTAAGAAAATAGTTTGAGATCCTGGAAAGGACATAGGGTACTTTTTATCTCGCAAATGATCCCTTAAAATGGGGACGAAAGTTTGTATGGAGAATCAAACTAGTGACAACCCCGAGCGAAGCGAGAATGAGTCGCTATTTAGTCATATAGCTTATGGACTTTACTTTCATGGCAAAGTGAGTGGCCTTGAAATTTCATGAACTCTTTATTACTTGGTTTTGATGAAGATAGATTCAAAATAAAATCACTTTAATTTGATCGGGACGACATACAGTTTAACACCAATCAATCTGCAGAAAGATGAATGTTGTAAATCAGAGATAGTAATAAAATAGTAAAAATGAAAAGAAAGGCAGTGTAGAACTTGAAACATCTTTAGTTTAGAACTAACAATAACTTGTGTTCCTGCTAAAAGTTTATATTAAATATAAAACAGGATAACTCTGCCACATGTCGCTGTTATAAAATAGTACTCTACCGACTTATTGTATGGTAAGTAATCTATAATATATTAGTTTTCAGTGTATAGTGGACTTCGTGTAAGGATATCATATAGGTAATCATTAATCTATATAAAATGTTGTGTATGTAAGCGTGACTGTTTGATTGTACACATTTGATTGTTTGACTGATTGTACACTAAAAAGGGTCGATGGATTTTAGTGAAATATAGAATAAAACTTATGTCCTGAGACAGTCTATCTCTAGAGTTAAGCCAAAGAAAAAACAGTAGTTACCAAAAAATAATAACAAGTAATTTTAAAAATTATAATAATATCAGACAGACCGTCCAATTTTGAACTAAGTACAGTATTAGTGATTCTCATTAGAAACATACTTACGGACTTTCAATTTTATTCTCAAAGATTCAAACAGATAGGTGAATAGACAGACAAAATTATACCTAATGGTAATTTTTATCATTTTGCTAACGAAACCCTGAAAATCATCCAACATCGATTTTTTTATTACACAAGATTTATTTAAACCTAACAATTATTGATACGTCGCATGATAGATTAGATTCCAAAGTTATTATATTGTTGATCGAAGTTTTCAATAGATGCCGTCAATAAAAATATATATTTCACAACGATTTAATTATTTATTGTCTCAACAGACATCCTAGTTGCTTCCTAAGACATAGCACTAAGAATCGTAATAATTACCATACTAGGCTCAAGATGGCATTAACGACAAAAAAATATTGAAAATAGATGGCGCTGGTATCGTTTTTTTCATATTACTTATATTTAATATCAATTTAGGCCTTTAAACAAATCAACGCTAATCATGGGTCTTCCATCAATGTAAGAGCTGGCAGATTTCACATATTTTGAAGTTAGAGGTTCTCTCAAGTTATGCATATCTATACTAATATTATAAAGAGGTAAAGTTTGTGAGTTTGTGACTTTGTAGAGGGATTTTTTTTATCTAATGAACCAATTTAGATGAAATTTGGTAAGAATATAGTTTGAGACCCTGGGAAGGACATAGGATACTTTTTATCCTGGAAATCACTCCTTAAGGGGGTGAAAGTGGGGATGAAAGTTTGTAGGGGAATCAATGCTAGGGCCGAACCCGAGCGAAACGAGGGTGAGTCGCTAATATCAAATAAAGTTAAGCTTATATGAATAATTTTTGGATATATCAAGTTAAATAAGTTTCCTAAAAAGATATAAAAGATACTTTTTTATAATATAATGTCCTTCGATTTCGGCCACGGCGGCTAATCTCATGGACTCTGTTCCTGTCATTTATACTCCGGTGGGACGATTGCTCGACACGACCAATGAGAGTTAAGGCTTAGGAATAGCGAGCTTTCCGAGGCACGGAAGTGAAACACCGCCAACTGTTACTAAGAATTTCTTGACAGAAATATTCATTAACTGAACTTTGCCCGACCCGAGACTCGAACCGAGCGTAAAAGTTAGCTAATCTAAATATTCTATATCAGTGTTTTACAATAACTTTCACCATCCACTTTAAACATTAAGGCAGCTAAGAACAAGAATAAAATAAAACACACCGTATGATTCTTACACATTTATTGTGAGCCATTGACATTTTAAGACGGCTTTAACATAAATAACAATAAGTACGCGGACAAAAACAGTACCAGTCCTCATTTCCGGTAAATGGACAATAGCTTACGCGTATATGCAAAAATTATCATCTTGGCTCGGCCAATGCTTGTCATTGATTTAAAATCATAAAATAAAAGGGGATCCGACTAAAATTATTGTAATCGAAACAGTTTATGAAAATTAAAAGATGCGTATAAAGAAATTTCAATGAAAAATAAAAACAATTTAATTCAAATTAATACAATTCAATTCAATACATAATTTTAATCTTAAAAAAAATGGATAAAAAACAAATTTCTTTAAACGTATTCGACCGTTTCCCAAAACAAACACCCCAAACATATTAAAAATCCCCTTGAAGCTATTAAAAAAAAATGTTAAAATAATATTTTAAATAAAATTACATTACAACGTACACCCATTGAGCTCAAAACATTTATATAACATCGACTATATCTATAATTGATTATTATTATTATTATATTTATCTGTATTATAACAGTTAATTCCGTAAAATGTCAAGGAAATAAAACAAGCTTGAAATGCTTTTGTAAAAATAATATAAATTAGTTTCTCAAAAATAACTATAAATTGAGTTCGTTTAGAAAATAATTAGTAGGAAAATGGAAGACCATCGAAAGAAACAGAGAACAGAGAAAGTTGTTAATGTTTGCACTTTGCATTTCAAGCTTTTACATGTCTAAGATACATTATATTTAATAACACATTTATAATTGATTGGACACACACCGATCTGTAACATTGAGTTGAAATACCTTTAAACCTACTGTGGTTTCTAAACAAATAGATATTTCGATAAAATTTTGACATAACACATATTAAGATTTAAAGGATGTTTTTTTTTGTGAAGGAATTTTTGGGGAACACCAATTCGGACCTAAGGTCCGTCAAGCTACTTCTATTGAATGTTAATATCCATGTATATTAAAAGAACGATTATTGATAAAAATAGTCCATTGGCAAATAAATTATGCAAATTGTCTTTGCCAATCGTAGCGCTATTTCGTATCCTAATTCCAAAATAGTCCACAACAAAATAGACCAACGATGGCGAGACCAATATTATAACTTTGCATAATCCAGTCGGTTATTCCGCGGCAAAAACGTGTTACATTAATATAACACAGATTTTTTTTGTGGTCAACAAGTTAAAAAGTTAATATAATAAAAATTCAAATAAAAAAATTCAAAATATATTCATTATAAAAATCGCGAAGGTCAGTCGGATAGAGTAACTCTAATAGGCCCTATAATTTATAAGGCTGCGAAAGTTCGAATGATTTTAGTGAAAGCTCAATAATTAAGGCCTATTCGTATAAATATATAAACAAATTTTGATTTTTGACAGGGCTTATTTAATATTATGCCGATATAGGAAACATTGTGGTACTACCCTGTCTATTTGTCAAATGAATTTTGCATTAATTATTTTCCATTCGAAAGTTGTTATTGTGAAGCGACAGTTAGATGTTTTAACTTTTTAACTTGAAACCTATAAACACAGTGATGCGTGACCTTTTATTCACTGCCGCTCGTGGTTTCTGCTGACTTCCGTGTGCTCGACCTGTAAACAATAATTTTTTTATGAAAATCCTTCTTTGTAAATATAACTTCTAACAACACAAGACGCCTCGACTGGGTAACACCGCCAACTTTCCAACTGCGGGCTGTTACTGAGAATTTCTTGACCAAAAATTCAATAAGTAAACTCGGGACTCGAACTTAAGACCTCTCGATCCGCATCGGTCACCCAGTATTAGAACACAGGACCTTCGGACCTTCATCCGTATATTAGGCCAGTAGACCATTAAGACCAGTTAACCATAAGGTTTTGGCTATGGAGAGGATTATGCTCAGAGATTTTCTGAAGGACATGATCCGAAAAGAAATGATCCGATAGAGAACCATAGCAAGCTGAAGTGGCAGTGGGCTGGTCTCATTTGTCGCAGAACAGATAAATATTTCTAGTAGGCTTCGCAATATAATGTAGGATGCCTCCTAAGGGCAGCGACGACATACATACATAAAGGGGCTGGTAGCAGTTGGATGCGTAAAACTGAAATTAAGCTCAATGGCGTGCCATAGGAGAGGCCTGTGTCCTCCTGTGTGTGAACGGAAGCAGGCTGATTATGATGAGACCAACAAGACAATCCGTACCTATTTTTTTTATTCATTATTTTTAAAAGGGTTTGATCATAGAGACCATGCCACACTTACGGGAACTAAAAAATAATTTTATCTATTCCACTTTTTTTAAACTAATTGCACAATTTTATACAGCATCCTTGTTTGGCACGATAGGAGTGAAACAAGAATGATGTTGCAAACACCAACATCCATTTTATTTAGCTTAAATGACACATTCCATTAAAACATGATGAGTATCCTCCACAATCCCACACTCAGCGCAATATGTCGAATTTGACTTAGGCAGAGGTCCCACTACGGTATTTTCCAGCGAGCGATTAACCGCTATAACCGCGAAACCGCTCGACAAGCACACACTACGATTAAAAACCGCGAACAGTTGAAGATGGATTTCACGAGAGCTGTATGTATTTATTGGTCTGCTAAATACTGAACAAAAAACCGCGCGCGGTTAACGCGATAGTGCGTGCACACCAACTAAGTTCTATTGATTACAAATTTAGCGCGATTTTTACCCGCGAGCCATTTTGTAACAATTCGCGTTTTAAAATCAGTCGCGGGAAAAAACCGCGAGGCCGTTTGAATTGATTTACTTGACTCACAAAATCAAATTATTAAAAACCGCGGCGGTTTAGCCGTAGTGGAGCCTCGCACTTTACCCATTAAAAAGGCAAAATAATTCAATGAAAAGTGACCGGAACGAAGCCTCAAACTTGTTACGTTATGATATAATCCGTACCTGTTCTGCCTGAGGAATCGAGCAGTGGCCACGAGTCGCCTCGGTTCGTAGTCTGCTGATGTGGCGGCGCGGGCGCGTGCGATGACGCGCACGTGCTCCCTGAACGCAGCGCGCAGCTCCTCGGGCGGTGGTAGGTGAGAGGCCACTTCGCTCAGGCTCTCTGTTGTGGTAGTTGCTACATTATCACATAGCCCACAGGAATACATACATACACATAACACGCTGCTATACGTAGAATTGTAGATACCTTAATTCGCAAGTCGGCTAACTCTTTTCAGATTACACTAAAGACGTTATTATTTCAATAATATGACAACATACGAATTAGGAAAAGAAGAAATTTTGGATTATTTTAAAAATATAACTTAACTATTACTGGGTATACTCGTATTTATTTTTGTTTGGATTTCGTAATGAGTATAATTGAAAAAATTATGTTGATGGGTAGCTTTTGAAAAGTTAGCTGAAACGAAGTCAGTCGACTTGTGAGGTATCGACAGTCTACATATACATATGTATGTATGTATACCTATAGTGTATATGATTAGTATCTACGGCCAAGACATTTTAAGCACATCTACTAATCCTTACACTTGTCTTACGAAGGCGTTTAACCAATAAATGTGCAGATGAAGTGACGCGAGTGAGCACCAGACTCTCATATTTATAATATGTATGTATTTAAATTTATATATGTGTAGTGTATCAACTATCTGGTATCCATAACACAAGGCTCGTAGCTTACTAAGGAACTAGATGGCGCTGTGTGTTAATGTCCCAACATTTATTATTATTTATTGTAGTTACTTTTATATGGCAGTCGGCAAGTAACTTGCCACGAGACGACAATATATGTAGATTTTTGAGTCCAAAACTTAGAAGAGTTAACAACCGTGGCATTTGACTGCATTTCCATTAAAATCAATGGACTGTACTTATACGATATAAGCTACATGTCCTGACTTCACTTGACTACTTTATCTTTAATTCTCCAGAAAAGGTCCACATGTCAAATATTAAGTATAATTTACAATTGTACTTAAATAGTAAATGCCAGAATAAATATTATAATAAAAAAAAACTTCTAAACTTAACATTTCTTCGTCCAATGTCAATAATCAATATGTCGACACGCGATCTATTTTAAGCAATTTGGTTTGATAAATCAGTCAAGACAAGTTGCTACGTACTCGTATATATTTAATAAATAAAATATAATATATATTTTATTTTATATGGTATACAATAAGATAAAGCTTGTGATTGTAATTAAAGTACTCCAGCTCAGAATTTACACATGCGTTTACTTATGGTTTTTTTATTAAGTTTATTTTGTTATTCAAAGCAAAATTCAAAATATGCTTAAAGTAAGAAAACAAAAGTAAATTTTCATTAAAAGAAAATATTTTTGAAGCAAATTCACACATAGATTTTAATGAAACTTTGCAATTATACTTTTGTAGATATTTTTCTCATTAATTTTTTCAGTTTATATGAAGAAAAACAGGCTGCAAAAAATATATAAAAATTAAATTAACTTAAATCCACGCGAGCAGAGCTATGTATCCAAATAACTAATAGAAATGAAATAAAATAAATAAAAAATAAAAACAATCAACATTTACAACGCAACTTCCAAACTCGTAACAACCACCCATAAAATGTTACCTACATTACTTCCTAGAACTAAATAAAACATTAGTTTTAAAACAGCCAAACAATGAAAATTAATTAAGTTTATTTATGACTTAAATAACATCTATATTTTTACAATTATTTATGTCTTGTTTATATAAATGAAGTCATAAATACTCTCGATTCAATTCAATTATATTTTTATGGTATTAAGTATATTCCCCATTTTACTTGTCACTACCAAACAAAATTTGACAATCAATACCATCAAAACTATAATAGGTAACAATTCATTCACAAAAGACCATTACGAGTCTAATCCAACGTTCATTTCTACAGCTAGTCTACTCACGTGCATTAAATTTATCATCTTACTCAACTCGACCTACCACTGATGAGGCCATTCAGCGTAGTGGGAGGTCGTGACTGTCTGACACATCGTCGTTTCTTGGGCGGCATGCCCGAAAGGTAGGCATCACTGTAAGGCTCAGAGGGGTCATTTTGCCGCTGTATATCCCTAGTAAATGTTGGCACCCAATCCTCGCCCCAATGCTGCGCTATCTGCGCAGGTGGCACCTACAACATTAGCGAAATAAAACCCGCACCAACTATATATTTTTACACCGATCACGAGACAACACACAAGTACCTGCATGTTTCGTCATTGTTACGTTAATTATTATTATTATTTATAGTGTTTAAGTTATTTTGAGCATAAAAAATCTAAGCAAATTTATTAGACTTGCGCAATCAAAGGTTCTGATGAGACACACAAGTACTGTAGAATTAAGCAAGGCTTTTCTATTCTTAATACCAGCCCGCGCATAAATGGCTAATGTACAGATTACCTTACTATTCCATCAGCGACAGGAAACGTTATAACATACTCCAAAATAAATAAATTAATCAAAGTGCTATTATTGTATGAAAATTTTATGTATATACTAATTTAAGGTGAAGGGAGCTATTAAATTATATATGAATTTTAAAATGCAACCAAATATTCTATTCTATTAGTCTTTCAGAAATACTAATTGTGACGATTGATTATAGAATACCATTATATAAAGCGTCGGTGATATTTACAAGTTGGAGTAGGTAACATTTTTTTTTATTACAATGCTATTACTATGTACTACGTACATGTTAGATAAGCTATTAGATATATTTTTTTAATAATTTATGAAAAAACTATGAATAAATGCCTCTAAGTAATAAAAAAAAGTAGAAAACTTCATACTAATATTATCGCAAGCGTGAAGGCTTGAGTTCTACACGACAAAACTAATTTAAATCGTCATAAAACTATAGCAAATAACTAAAATACTATTGGAAAATTTATATTTAAATTTTATTGGTCTGCCTAATTGACGAAACATTTACTTAAATAAATATATCACTCTTATTATACTTACGAATCTCAAATTATCGGAATCATCTTGCGATGATGGCGAGTCCGGACTGTTGCGCTGGTTGTGCCTAGAAATTTTAGGCATAAGTTAGCAATAAATATTTACGTATAATATCAACAACGAGAAAATACATTTACATGCAGGTTTCATAAACGGTAAACAGCCAAACAATATTGTGGGGTTGAGGCTCCTAAGACATCAGTGTAGATGCATTTTGCTTCTAATAATGTAGTAAGATAGACCGGTATATTAAAAAATATAAGTTTAGCATAGAAACTAAAAGAAGAACCCCGCGGAATAAATCAATAAACAACGATTACAGAGCCTACAAAGCGCTTCGAAGAATGTAACATCCGTGATACCATGTAATATAATAAAAAAGTGTGCAGACATTCGCACATGCACTTATAATATCTACTTGTTTGTTAGTAAATAGCCTTACCGTGCTCGGCCACGGCCGTGCCTTGGACGGCGGACGAAGCCATTGGCTCGTGGTGCAGGCCGATTATGTACATCGGAGCTATAGCTAGTTGCAAAATATGTTAGAAAATGTTCTATTCGGCTATAAAATGTACGCAAAAATTCACGTTTGATTAGAGAAAATATACGATTAGTAACGTTACGGTTATTTTTAACAATATTTTTTTTATTTACCTGATACTTCCGTAGCTGTTTCCTATCAAGTGACGCTCAGCGCGAGCGGCCATTGAGGCGGCCATGGGATTGCTAAGCATGTAATTCCATGAACAATGAAACAAAACGCTAGCGAGTTGAATTTTCTTTTGATATGGAATTAGTATTATGTATTCACGTGATTTATATAACAAGATTTACAAAGGCTTTGATTATAATTCAATTTAGGTTTTATTTAAGAGTCCGTTTTGGGTATGTTTGTCAAAATGGTATCGTCTAAAAACTTGCAAAAATTATACGTATACGCCCTTTAACTTTTTATTTTGATTTATTTTTTTATTTTATTGATGAGTATTTTTTCATTTAATTGGTAATAAATAAATAACAAATATATATAAGGTCTTTAGTAAGGTTGAACATTTTTAAAAATTTATCACCTGCGTCTGCCGGGACCAAAGGCAGCAGCAGTGTAGCCGTTGACGTAGGTGTCCCTTTCTGCGTTTTGCGTTCCTGGATAGCTATGATTAAGAGGATATACTCGCACTCATATACAAAATTTTCCTTGTATAATATATGCAATATATCTTACATTTACTAACATAAGCATTTAGATATAGATATTTGATCTACATAACTGTTATCTATACATATAATAAAATTGTAACCAAGCCGAATCTGTACATTAGATATTTTTTGGAAAATCTTATTGAAATAAACATTATTATCGATACCAAGGCCGAATCTATAGTTTTTAGAATTTTTATCTGTCTGTCTGTCTATTACCGCATCACAGGAATACCACGAGAGGGATTTTGATTAAATTTGGTATGATGATAGCTGGTTTTCCAGGTCAACATATAGAATACTTTTTACCGCGGGCAAATATCTCATTTCTGAGAAAAAATACAAAAAAAATCAATCGATTTCAAAAACTGCTAAGAGTATACTAATATGTAAAACCTAAGAATTTAGTTTTTGGTAATTTGAACGCGGGCGTAGCCACGGGCAATGCTAGTATTACAATAACAGTTCACTGTGAAAATGCAGATATAGCTCATAAATGATCTATCCACGCTGTGAGTAGAGTAAGAAATTTTTGAATTTTTCAATCGAAGAATCAATTAAAATAATGATATTTACACGTAAAAATATAATACGTAAAAATATAATTTGTTAAACTTGATTTTGTAATAACAAGCAAGATTTATTAAGAGCAGGTTCCAAATATTTTCTAAAAGTGATTTATATAATAATAGAAAAAAAATAGTTTTATAATAATTTCACAGTTATAACAAGATTCACAATCAGTATTAAACGACTAATAAGCAAAACAGCCTATTATTAAAAAAATACGAAAATTTGCGTGACCTTCCGTTAATTTTATGTTTAGTCGATAGATTTAAACTAATAGAAAATTTAAAGCCAATATTTAAGTTGACCGCTATGTCTTGATAGTTCTATTTGAGAGGTTGGAAAGATATCCATATCATTATTATTTTATTTAAATATCAGTGTATCTTGTTATTTATAAAAATACAAACAACATATACAAAGATCATCAAAAATTTGTACCTGAGTCGACTTAATTCGTTCAAACGGTCCGTGACGGTCATCCTGGCATATATTGGCGGCAGGCTATAAAATAAGCAATTCTAGCACGATGGAAGAATATGCACAAGCGCAAATGGTTAAAAAATATATGTACCTTAACACAGGTATTATTTTCTAAAAATAGCAACGAATTAGGTTATTAATGGTTGACATAAAATGTCATATATAAACAAATATTTTAAGCGCTGAATATGTGGTACTATACATGTATGTATCTCTTGAACATTGAGTATATTAAAAACGTCTTTTATAATAACTCATATTTGATGGCTCCTTATTGTTCACAGAGATCATCAAAAGAAATAAGGAATGCTTTAAATTATTTTAATAGTAAATTAGTGTAATATGTGATGTATTATGGATAAGCCAGATTAAAAATAACTTTATAACTGCCAGTGCAAAGAATGGCAAATTAATCAAATATAAGTTTACTTTTTTTATATACACTATAACCATACTATACAGCAGCGTTTTATTTTACCATGAATATATATTTTTTAAATCTGTCGTCGGTTGATTTTCTTCAGTTTATCTAAAGCGAGGACACAAAAATAGCTAATGTATTAAATAGGTATAAAATATTAAGAGATAATTTGAATTACGCTTGAAGTACTTTTGAACTGTAATTATATATAGAAATTGTACATCATGGACGATGTCTCAGGTTCGCGATGGATATTATAACTTTACTAAATAAACCTACTCATATTCATATTGAAGTTCACATTATATGAAGTTTAACTTCTACACGCAGTACCTATATTTATTATTTACATACTATATAGTAAACACGACGAAAATGATGAAAATGACTTACTTAGATCCACGATGTGTTCTGCGACCGCGATGGCCACGGTGAGAATCATGTGAGCGTTCGTGGTAAGACGACGTGGACGTCGACGTCACACTATAATACGAATAATCCACGATGCAATTATGCATATCTGGGTAAACCGATTATACATCAAATGACATAGAAATTGATATATATACAGTAATATCCCGAACTTACTTACGAAACCCCGTTTTACGAAACCCCGTTTTACGAACATCCTGTGCCATGCCAACCGTATTTTTCGGAAGAATTCGAATGTCTTGGGTAAATCCCCAATCCACATACGATACTTTCGGACGTATTTCATAGAGGTTTCATAATTTTATCCATGGGGTTAACCTGATAGATATATTCAAATTTACACCAAATAAGAAAAACCTTTTTCATAGAATATAAACTGAATTTCTAAGAGGCAACTGGTAAGAGGCAAACATTTAAAGGTTAGTTTTGCCAAATCAAAAGTCAAATGGCATATCATGGCAGAGAATAGCGACAAACGCAATAAAGAGTCTATTTTTCTCGATTCAGACAAATTCAGGGTAATAAACCAGCAAAGCGTAGATGAAACTGGTATGTTCATATCATCATCAAAAAAAGATGCCTAAAAGAGCTTTAATTTCGCACGATGAGAAAACCATTTAATGTTTTGACAGCAGTCGCCTTGACAGCGGTGGATAGTTGAATACTAACGCTTGTTTATCATTGGTTGCTCCCCTTTAAATACTATTTTTGTCATCACTCAATTAAAACAAATTCGATTTTACGATATGTTGTTAATCAACAACGCATCACGCAACAGTCACCTCTCCTGCTGCTTTAATTAATTTAACCGACTTGAGAAAGTCAATCGATAAACCAGACGCTTATTCACCACCTGTATGTCTACAGGTGGTATGCGTAAATGCATTACGCAACATTAAAAAAACGGGTCTCATTAAGGTTAATAAACATGACGATCGTTTGTGCATCAACCTGATGTTATGAGACAAAATATTGCGATGACTGTTAAAGTTTGAAAGCAATTCGATATTTTAGACGCCATAAGAAAGGCTTTTTCTGCTAAAAGAAGAAAAATTGAGCGAAAGTCAGAAGTAGTCTCGTCTGACGACATTGCTAGAAGATTGTGAATATCAAAGCCAAAATAACGTAAGTTCGCAGTTTGAAATACATTACATTATAAATTATGAATATTAATCATTTTTATTGTAATTGTAAATCAAATTTTCTGCAAGTTAACGTCTTATTCAATACAGTATTACAAATTAGCAGACTTATGCTGCTGTTGCAGCACTGTAGTTACTAAAAATTAAATATCTACAGTAAGATTTTATGGTATTATGCCTACTCAACTATTAGGACTACTTTGAAATATTGTTATGAGTAACAATACACTGAAGCCATTTATTGCAAAGTCCGGGGTATTACTGTATTTAACAAATGTTTACAAATCATTTGAGTCGCACGGATTTACAGAAGAAGTGTATTTTATCACAATTTCTTGTACATAAGTACCCATAAGTATAGAAAACTTCCTTATGGTTCTTTTTAATTAAAAATAAAGAGTTATATATGATATTAGAATAAATGTACCTATATGACGAACAAAACTCGCGATAGATAACGCACTGCGATAAATAACAAGTATAAACGGCAAAGTGGAAGGTAATGACTCTATGGCTCATAAAATCACTTGGAGAAAAATAGCCTTTTTTATTATATAAAAATAGCTCCACCAAAAAAAATTTTTTTTTTCAGTTATAATATCCTATATATAATTTATTGGCAAAAATCGTATTATATTACAACATCAATAACATTTACAATGTTTTAAAAATAGCCAACTCACGTATGTCTGGGATCATGGCAACGCTCGTGGCGCGATGACGTAGACGGGGCCGAAGTGCTACAAAACAAAGTAACGTATGACGGATAGCATATGCCCAAAACTTGAGTCTACTAAAGCTTTTATCTTAGTTTAAAATAACAAATCCACTATCAGACTTAGAGACAGTATTTTCTATCATATATTTTATATAATTATCAATACAATAATACTTTATATTGCAAAATATTACATACATATGTATATATATATATATATATGTATTTGATCTACGACAACAGTAACGTATATGTACCTGTAAAGTAGATATCGATATCTAAGGAAGCGTGTATCTATACTAATATTATAAAGAGGCAGAGTTTTTGTTTGGTTGAACGCGTTAATCTCAGGAACTATTGATCCGATTTGAAAAAAATATTTTTGCTTTAGATAGCTGGCTATTGAGGAAGGATATGGGCTATATATCATCCCAGAAAATGCCCGGTTCCCGTGGGATAGATTTTATGTCTACGGACAAACCCGAAGCGAAACAAGAGTGAGTCGCTATATTAGATATTTTGCTTTCAAATTATTTATCTCAACACAATTTCTAACTTTTTCGTTTACTTTTGTAGGTTGGTATTTAATTACAAAGAGATATTTTGATAATCGTATAACACTATTTATAATCGATAGTCATATCAACTTAGTCTGCTTTACTTTTTTTTCTGTAACCAATAAGCACCTAAGTAGCTAACAGGCAACCTAACAGTCATCTCCTGCTGGTTTTACAAATTTTAACCCACGTGTAAAAGTTGTGTTGTAATTTTGACTTCGATTATAATAAGCTTGTTCAATCGATATTAGGGTATTATTAATTTTAATAAACGTAACGATCGTTTGTGCATTTTCCCGATGTTATAAGACTAAATAACGTGCTGCTTATTAAAAAGTTAGGATGCAATTCGATATTTTAGACGCCATTAAAACTGCTTTTTCTGCGACAACATGAAGAATAAAAATTGAGTGCAAGGTTGTACATAAATTCCTATATAGAAAGATGCTTTCCGGTTTTTATAAAGATAAAGAGTATAAAAGGTATTAGATTAAATAGGCATGACGAACTAAGCTTTCGACAAGTAGATAACGCACGAGTATAAACGGCGAAGTGGAAGGTAGGAGACTCTATGGCTCATAAAATCACTTTGAGCGAAATAGCTATTTTTATATTTTAAAATGGCTCCATCAAATAAATAACATAAATATTTTATATCATTAGTTCCTAAAATTAATTTTCCTTCATCATATTACATGAATACAACATAACGTTTACAATGCTTTAATAATAGCCAACTCACGAATGTCTGGAATCATGGCAACGCTCGTGGCGCGATGACGTAGACGGGCCCGAGGTGCTACAAAACAAAGTAACGTATGACGTTAGGGCATTGATGACGTTAAGGCATATGCCTAAGGCTCGAGTCTACTAAAGCTTTTATCTTCAGCTTAAAATCACAAGTCCATTATCCTAGAGACAACACTATTTTCTATTATATTTTTTGTGTAATTAAAAATACAATAATTTATAATACTTTATATTATAAAATATTAATTATATACTTTTTTAGATATGTATTTTGCTATTTTCAATATTAATTTTATTTTAGATATTTTGCTTTCGAATTATTCATCTGCACACAGCTCCCGACATTTTCGTCCTACTTTTTAGATAGGTATTTAATTACAAAAAGATTTTTTGATAATTGTCTTATCAACTTTTATGATTTCTTTATTTTTTTCGATTTTTTTAATCACCGTTTTATGATTTTTGTACCCAAAAAGCACCTAAGTATAATAATTTACTCACTTGTATCGTGCCCGATGACTGACAGACGCACGCTCTGGGCGCGTCGGTGAAGAAGATGACGAACTATAAAGTAAGTATATGTGCACCATATAATATGTGCAAATAAACTTAGAAATTTAATTTGCGAATAAATTCAGATTTTCTTGTCCAGAATATATTAAGTATATAGGTATATAAAGAATTCTTTTACTTTTATATTTTCTTTTGTGATCAAGTCATTAATAATGTGTATGATAATTTATATTATATATTAAATAGATTTAATGTATTACGCAAAATAGTAGCACCCCTCATATATTATTTACAACTAGGTGGATAAATAATAATAAAAAACTGAAATTATTATAATCCCCCTTTCATACAGCAAACTGCGTTATTTTTATATACATATTTTTAAATTCAAAATTCTTTATACAATTTGGATCTCTCAGAATGTATTATTTGTCAAAAGATTTACCAACAGTACCTACTTTTTAATATGAAACATTGTGAACATGAATCATAGCTTTTAACATATGAAAAATCTCTTTTTAAATCTAACAACATTGTTGACCGTTCTTTATATTGATACATTTATATGGTATGTTTCTTATGAACAATGAAGTCTACATTTTAATTAAAATAAAATATCTACTAGAAATATAAAAGAGAAAAAAACAGTCGAAAGAAAACGTAAAGTCAAAAGCATGGACACTTAGCGAAGGACGGAACGTAAATAATATATGTACGTACGAGTATAAGCTAAGTACCTACAAACGTGTGCAAGTCCTACCCATTGAAAATAATATGATCATCGCAATCTATTACCATGACAACATTTCACGTTGATTTACCCTCAAAATTCTATATCAGCACTCATTCTAGTTTAAAAAAAACGTGGGGGTCTTTTCAAAGAGATTCCGGATTTCTTTGGAAAAGAGGGTAACGCTAAGTGCCAATATGCACCGTCAAATATTGGGTCATTGTGCCGTATATGAAAACACTGGTTTTACAAGTGTTTATTGATTCGCATATTGTGAACACCTGTGTATCTTGTTAATGAATGGTTAGTAGTAAGTTGTTACAACACCGAAAACATATAATGCATTACTCACTTGCGTCTTCTCGTCCGAGGCTCAAAAACATTGGTGGGGCGCGACGTCGTAGCTGTGGCCGACGCGCTACAAAGGAAGCAGTGTATATGCGCGATGGTAATATGTGCACACAGGCAATACGCGAAAATAATTACTTCCAAGCAATATTTTAACTATACGCTGTTTATCGCCAATTAATAAATATTATTTGCTATTAATACCGCATTTGCATCTAATCATTCTGTTTCCTTATTTGATATCATTTCCTATATTTTAAGCATTGCTTCCTATATCGATAGCCTAGAGAAAAGCCATAGTATTATAATGTTAATAGCTTGTAAGTGTATGTACTCTAAGCTGGCGATACAATAGATATATTTACACAACACTTAAAATGAAGATGATTCAAACTTACTTAGATCGACGATGCTGATCGTCGAAGTGGAACGGTTCGGCGCGCATGGGCGCCGTAGCGGTCGCCGGAGCGCTACAAACATAGCTTTGTATGACTACATGCGGTATGAAAACAAGTGCACATAAGCGTTTTGGTTAGTAGTTAGGCAAGCTTACAGTAGCTGGTATTAGTATATTATTTATCTGCAATTTATCAAGATTCACAGTTGTTCAAATAACTAAATCGTTATAGACGTGTATATCTTAATTATTTATATTACCAATGCTTCTTATGGATTCTTTGTAAGTTTTGATAAACCAATCAATTAGTCGGGAGTGTTCTTAGCTATGTTTGATGAAAATCGGTCTAAGATGGCCGCCCCCACAAAATGGCGGATTACATATTTTTTCACAACTCCCTCAATATGGGTCTCAAATGAAATGGCTTGACTAGTAGAATACTATACATTATGATAAATTTCAAATCCAAGATGGTCGACACAACAAAATGGCGAATTACATGTCGGCGGTTTTTTAAATTTTTAATTTAATTTGGCCTTGTTTTATACAGTGTCGTAAGTTTGCGAACGCTCGTGTGTTTGTAGAACACCGAAGGCAAACTTTAAAACTTTGGATTGTGAAATACGCACTATATATTTACATATAAGTATGTACTATAAGTAATAAGGGTTCCTTGGTTCAAGAAAAAGGAAGACCTAACAAGAATGCTAATATGGAAGCTACGCTTTGCTCTAGTCTCAGCCTAGTCTTAGCCCTTATCAATTTGGTAATTATGAATCAGATCTGTCACCAAGCCAGAAGTTAATATAATGCGAAAGCAAACCCGCGCGTTTTACATTGTTTCGTACTACCGGCTTCGTAAAAAGCATTTTATTTATTTTTAAATCATGGTTACGTATTACAACAAAATACATTAGGTTTAAAGGAATTCGTAATTAGCAATTTGCTTTCGGCATTTTACAATTGCACGAGTGATTGCAACCAGATGACGTCTATCGTATCGAACAATAGGGCGGCGACATAACATACATAGTATTATATTATATTTAAGTAAGAAACCTATGTGGACGACGATCTCACCTATACCGTGAACGGGTGTTGCGGTGGCCGCGATCATGATCGCCCCAGAAATCATCATCGTCTACGAACGGACACGAGCGGCGGGACGAGCTATAAGATGTTAATTATCTTACAACCTCGTTGTTATTGCAGGTCATATTATTTTAAAAATTCTTTTACTCCCAATTTTTGCATTTAATACCAATTTATGCATATTTAATTTTGAGTAGGTATATGACATGTGCAATTACAGCGCAAAACATGTAAATAATTTTATTTTCATACAGTATATAAAAAAAAGTTTAAAAGCATACTATTTAGAACGTCTTGTCATTAATAAATAATGGATACATAATTTATCATTGTATAAACATTTTTTTGTTACAGAATATATTAATCTGCGTATTCACTGTTACACTGCGTACCAACTGCGCTCTGCGCATTTGAAAATACTCCTTTACGCGACATTGGGTTTTTTGCGCTAAATATAAACCGTTTTTGTGGAGCCAAATAAGGCGCACATTCTATACAAACTTTTTGTGAGTAACAATTTGAATGTGTTTACTAACCTAATAATTTTAGTGACCAAATATATGCATCAAGTTTTAGTGAATAAAGTACACGTAACCGTACACGTAACCGTAACGCCTACAATAGAGAAGTTGCAGTTGTGTGGTAGTACGCAGTTGGCGCGTGAACTGAATGAATACCCAGCCTTAAATATTGTGAAAACAACAATAGATGATTAATTATTATAAAAGAGGCACAAGCAATAATGCTTGGTTAACTTCGTAAGGGCCGAATTGTCAACACGAAGCCCAATAGCGGAGTTATTTCGAGACGTCAAAATGATTAGATAAATAAATGCAGAAGTTAGTTTGTTTGTTTGTTTGACTCTTTAAACCTAGCAACAACGTAAATGAAAACCTTCTAAGACAAGACTTTTCATACAACAATGAGTAATTCCCGTGAGGTAATCTAAGTAAAAATTACTAGAAAACGTGCAGGGTGTAGTAACGACTTGGCTAAAACGAGGGATTGTTGATACGAAGTTATACATCGATATCTTATGCCGAATGGGACACTTAAAATGTTCAGAGCTCACAAAACACTTTAATTGGCCCTTACGATGTTAAAAGATACAAGAAAGAGAAGTACGTGTGTGAAAGAGTTAGTAGTTTTCACACTTACGCTCTGCCACGGGAATATTGCCGCAATTCAGGATTGCTGTCGTCCTCCATGATTGGCGACATGCTGGGATATAAAGGCATTGTAAAATATATACGAAAAAGACCCTTTTGCAAAACAACGGGCACCTAAAACTCCAGCAGCAGTAGCATTTGAATATATGAAAACAATGATTTTTGTATCAATCTGTTTGAAGTTTACAAAACAGCCTAAATAAAAAAAAACATATTCAGCCAGGATGAAAATATTTGGTAGTTAGCATCTTCTATATAAATTCACAGTAGATTACGTATTCCAGGATATACAATAAGGAAGGAGGCAGCAATGAACAGTTTGGTCAACTAAGAAAAAGTACTGCAAATGAAATGCATTTGAATTTTTTTGCAAATTAATTTTTAACTAAAAGGAAAAAAATGGAAAAAAATATTGAAAATTAAACGATATTTATTGGATTTTGTTGGATAATTCTTATTTCCCCGCACTTTTAAATGCCCGCCTTTGCAAAGGAGTATATTTGATGTATCAAATCAATAATGGCTTAATATTTTATTCAATAAGAGTTACCTAATGGTAATAATCTAATAGGTATATTAAATTCTCGTATCACAGTGTTTGTAACAAATTGTTTTATCTCATAAAAACAGACAGAGCCCTCTGCTAAAACTATACACTATAACTCTTACAACAACGACAGTGTATTTAAGTGTATCTACCACCTAATAGCTTTTTTGTCTTTGTTCACTTGTTCAATAGCCTTAAACAAAACTGGTCAGATTTCAATTCGATTCCGATAATTCATTAAGCAACCAACATCGATTGAAACAACCGCAGCGTATAAAGACCTATTCCGCAAGAACGACTCTAGTACTGTAATAGTTAATAGTTTAATAAATCTTTCAAATCGTTTCAGCGTTTGTGCATCTTGTTATATGTATATAATCTATATGTATGTATGTGTACATGTACGATGTATAATGGCAACGTATTCGACTCACATATTCCGTGCGCGAGCGCGACCGTGTGCGTGACGGCGACTACGCAACGGCGTCGTAGATATCGGTGTGCTATGAATATACAACAAAACACAATTTTGACAACAATTCCATTGTAAAATTTGTAAACCCTATATCTTCAATAGAGGACGTAGAACCAATCACAGGCGAGTCGTGACAAATATTTCTTGTAGCACGTACATATATTTGTCGCGTCGATGATGTTCCTAATGATGCTATTGAAAGTAACGTATCTAGTTGTAAATGCGTCGTGAGTGACGATCGGGATTATATGGGTTAGTTTAGCTCGATATTTACTGTTAGAATGTTATGACATATTAATATTTAAATTGAGTAATAAGCCCAATCTCACCTGTATCGGCCCCGGTGATAATGCGGCGGGTAACACCGTATGCCATTGATGGCCCACCCGGAGTAGACGGGGCCGCTAGACAGTTAATAAATAATCTATCTTACTACACCGCAACACTATATCAAATATTAAAAAAAACTATGAAACGGCTATGTCTGGCGGATCTCGTTTACTTTACATGACGGCGCTAAACTCACCTAATACTCCCGCGATAGAAGTGAGCTCGGTAATATCGTACTAGACTAATATACGAGTACATGGTTATAAGTGCAAGGCGATTAGGTTAAATTGTGTGTTATTTGGAAGCATTAAATCGATTGTTAGTAAAATGTGTAAATTTTTGTTGTGACACTTACCTGCCTCTTCCGCGTGTACTCGATGGCGAGTTGCGTTGAGCCGAGTTCGAAGTGACCGTCGATGTGACGTTAACTTGGGCGGATCGTTCTGCATAATTCGGGGATAATGGTGAAATGGGCGGGATGGGGAGAGTGGGGATAGCTGGGACGGCGGGGATAGTTGGCAGAGTGGGCACTATCGCTGGTGCCGGCACCATTGTAGGGGCAGGTACCATTGATGGAGCTGGCACTATGACTGGAGTAGCCGACACTATTGGAGTAGCCGCTGCAATGGGGTGCGGCGGGACGACGGGAAGATCCGGTAGAATTGGGACGGCGGGTACAATAGGGACGGTTGGCACTATTGGAGTCGCCGGAACGATTGGCGCCGTTGACGTCGTTGGAGCAGATGGTACCATCGGAGCAGTCGGTACTATTGGGATAGATTGTACTGTTGTGGGCGTTTGATATGACGATACGTTGGGTACAGTGGTGACTGTGGGTACGATCGGCGCGGTCGGAACTGTGGAGGCCGACGATACCGATACTGGAGGCGATGGAGGCAAATTGGCGTTCAACAATGTAGTGACGGTAGGAACTATGCCGACACCAGTAATTTCAGCGAGCTCGTGAGGTGGTGGAGTTGGACAATTGTATATGTCATATTCTGCCTCCAATTCAGAAGAATCGGCCAATGATGGCGACAATGGCGAAGCTTGCATGGGCTCAGATTGCTGTGAGTCTACATCTGTGGTATCCATGGAGCCAGCCTCCTCATAGGTGCTGGTCTGTGCCTGTAATAGTAAATATTTTGATATCTACTTATTGAGTATAAACTCACATAAAAAAAATAAAAAATAAAATTAGCCTTTATTCTCTGACCAATTCATATAAACACTAACCACCTATTCATATAACTTAATAAGTATTGAGCATTTTAACATTTACAAAATATATATATAAAGTAAATTTATATATATATATATATATATATATATATATATATATTTACTTTTGCTAATAGCTTATATTTATTATATTTTTTACTAACATCCTTTTTTGTTTTGATAGATATTCTTATAATGACCTATCTTTATTCTTATACTTACAATAGCTCTGTTCGCGGCTCCGCCCGCGTTCAGATGACCAAAAAGCAAATTCTCAGGTTTTACATATTAGTATTTTTTCTTAGAAATGAGATATTTTCCCGCGGTAAAAAGTATCCTATATGTTGACTCGGATAACCAGCTATCACGATACCAAATTTTATCAAAATCCCTCCAGTGTTTTAAATAAAACTATCTTTTCGGATTTTGTCGCGGATTTATTTGCATTTTTGTTTCCCGACGTTTCGAATGCTTTACAGCATCCATGGTCACGGGAGAGACTGAGGTGTTACATGTCTTGGAGGTATAGTTCTTACTCGTAACATTAACTTTAAACTTTTTTATAATAAAAAAGTTTATAGTTAAAAAATATTGTAATGTAAGGTGCAATTTTCATTTTGTTAATTGTTGGTAGGCTGTCTGTAACAACTATACATTCAAGACATGTAACACCTCAGTCTCTCCCGTGACCATGGATGCTGTAAAGCATTCGAAACGTCGGGAAACAAAAATGCAAATAAATCCGCGACAAAATCCGAAAAGATAGTTTTATTTAAAATGTCAAATATTCGCGTAAATCTAAGAAAGTATTATCCCTCCAGTGGTTTTTCTGTGATGCGGTAACAGATAGACAAACAGACAGACAGACAAAAATTCTAAAAACTATGGATTCGGCCTCTGTATTGATAATAAAGTCTATCAATGAGATTTTCCAAAAAATATTTCATTTACAGATTCGGCTTAGTTACAATTTTATTATATGTGTTGATAATAGCATACCAACTAGTGTAACAATAGTGGTACAGTATTTTCTATTGGGTATATGTCTAGCATACCGAAGTGGAAGGTTGATTTCCCCTCTTGCGTATGAACTGAGCGCAGTGCACTTTGTTGGCATCTATACGACTAATTGCCGCATTCAAATTCTCCATAGCCAGGCTGTGTAGTAAATCACGGACAGGCTCATCGATGTTTTGGATTAGATCCGTCTGTGAAAAAAATAATAATTAAAGTAAATCACGGACAGGCTCATCGATGTTTTGGATTAGATCCGTCTGTGAAAAAAATAATAATTAAAGTGCATACATGCAGTATGAATTTGTACACGCGTAAGAAGTAAAACTTCTGTAGGTTATCGGTACTCTTTATGAAATTCAATTTATGTTTTAAAATAATTAGGATAGATTAATGCTAAAAATAACGCATATTAGGCATATTACAATCATATATTTATAGAATATCATTTAAGGAAAGAATATAATATTATATATCATTTGTCAGACTATAACAACGGTTACTATGACAACAAACGTTCGCGTCGCCCGAATTACACTTTTCGTCACGCATTCACCCGATTACCCCCAAGTCAAGCGTGCGTAAAGAAGTCCAAAAAAATTAAGCTAATAATTTGAATTATGCATAATTAGAAGAATAAGGGGTCGCGTCTTTAACTGTGACGTCAGAGTGGCGTGATGATGGTACTAGATGGAGAGAGAAGCGCAAGTTGGCGAGTAGAGACACCGGCAGACATCGGCCCCTTTTGCTCAACGACCATCGGATCGGACTTACGTTCACTAGCATTTTTTCAGTTCAGGTCAGTTCAAAATTCAGTTCAATTTAAGTGCTTAAAATATTTGACATTTTGTTATCATTTTAATAAATGTTTTTTTTTTCAGTGATCTTTTTTTTAAGCAATAATAGTCTAAAACGCAATTTGTATTATTACATTTGCTAGTGAATGAGCAAAGCGACAATTGAGTGGTTGTGTGTCGTCGTTTCTTGTTATTTTATTTTATTGAGTTATTTTAAAGGTTATTTTACTGAAAATGTTTAAGATTAAATCACATTAATATCATGAAGGCAGTGGTAGCCCAGTGGTAACGCGCTCGCTTGGGAAACCGAGTGAAGCGCGTTCCAATCCCGGGTCACGCACCTCTGATATTTTCATGTGCGAATCATTCCCGCCATGATTACCACTTGTCTTAACGGTGAAGGAAAACACGGTCAGGAAACCTGCATGTCTGAGATAACCTAGCAAGATTTCGAAACACATGCTCAGTCCACCCGCACTCGGCCATCGTGGTGGACTACGGCCTGATCCCCCGTCGTACTGAAGGGAGGCCCGCCCCCAGCAGTGGGACGTTAAAAAGGGCTGAATACAATACAATATCATGAAATCTTACCAAGAACGAGCGATAAATCCTTCGTAGACCCTCAACCCCTTCCAAGCAGCAGTAGGATATCACTCCGCAGAGTTCATAGAACATTCTCGGGTACACGATACGGAACCTACGGGAGCATATCTCGTTGTTATCCAAGAACATCACAAGCATCGCCTCGTTCAGGAAACGTATGAGTACCGCTTTCATAGATTCTATTATGTCGACGCTTGGACGTATCGGTGTGATCGAAGCCTGTAAACATTTGTAAACATTGTGCTTATCTATGTATGTATATGTATATATAAATAAAAAATATATTTATATAAATAAAATTGAAGTGTCTGTTTGTAATGTCAAAATAACAGCATTTTACTTAATGCACATGAAAGTATATACATACGAGTATATGGTAGGTACTAATAAGAAAAAATATTTTTTTTCGAGCGAGGGTATGTCGCTAGTTGTTAAATAAATGCTTACAATGCGGTTAATAAATTCAGCGTGGCGTTCAAATATGATATCTGCCAACTGATTTTGAGTGCCCACTTCGTATTCCCCTTGCATTAACTCCCGCATGTACACCTGCAGGCGGCGGCGGAGAGGCAACAGTTCGTCTGGCACGAGCGTGCGTCCGCTTGAGAACGACGTAGCCTCGCGCTGTAATACAAATTTTAATGATTTATAATATTATTATTTAGTCGTGAAGTGATTATCCCATTCATACTAAGTAGTGGAATCTAGGCGGTGCTACGTAATCCAGAGAAGCTACAGAAAGGTCTAGGTGGCGACAATAGGAAGAGGACATCGACACCGACAGCCAAAAAGCGACATGATGAAATTAGCTACATTCCTTTTACAAACTGAGAGTTGTGACGTACGGGGTGAAATTTTTAGCTATTTTTGTTCTGTTACGCCAAAGAAGTGTAACGTCTTACGTGCGTACATAAGTACACACACACCTTTTTTTATATACATATATAGAATATTAGTCAATTTATTTTTAGTTAAATAGTAGTATATCAAATGCCAAAATCACATATTTGAATATGAAAAAATCTCTTAAGATAGATATCAAAAGTATACACTTTTATTAACTCAGATTAATATTTTTAATACATACCAAGGTGACCATAGTGGCGATCATGAGAGACTCTTCATTTATGGTATTCCTGTCGAACCTCTCGAACAGGGTCTCCACATTGTTCTAAACAAAAATACAATTATTTAGATTTAAAATAAGTATAGCAAAATGAAAAGTTAAACATAGTTGTAAAATAAATTATAGATAAAATACAATATTATAGATTCACAAGTACCTGTATACGGCTGGTGCTATTATCCCTTAGACGCGGCCCGCCAGCCTGGGACGTTTCATCCCTGCACAAGTAAAAAAAATATTGATAAGTTTCTCCATTTTTTGGAGTGAAACTTCTTTAGTCGCGCCATGAGAGAGAAATAAATGCGTGAGTATGTAATTAACACATGATAGAATTGAAACTTAATCTATATATATAAAAATGAATCCCTATTTCCCTTGGTCACGCCATCACGCATGAACGGCTGGACCGATTTAACTATTTTTTTTGTTGTGTTTGTTATTGTCAGGAGAAGGTTCTTATGAAAGAAAAAAATTAAAAATTAACGGAAAAAAAATTAAAATATATATGGCTAACGCTGGCTAATAACTATTTATATCTATTTAAAACGTACCTAGCGACGAACCCTAGCGAAGCGAGGGTGAACCGCTAGTATTATATATTTGTCAGACAATAACAACGTGGCTGCTATAGAATACATCTATAGCATTCTCTCGCCGGCTTAATCCTATATATTTATGTATTTGTCTCTTTAGTGTAACATTTCCGTTTCATAGAGTTTCAAATCACAGCGATACTAAAGAATGTTCACTTCCAAACGGATTGGCGTTACGATTTTTGTAATGGAAACGGTTATTGTGGAAGTAAATAAAATATAAATAGTCAATTAAAAATTATTTAAACTATTATATGAATATTTCAAAGGGTAAATTAAATAAAAATAAATACTCCTTTATTTATTTTTGACCGATGGAATCATATCAAATGTTTTTTTTTTAATATTTACTTGCAACAATTTATTTTTTTCTAACTTAAACTTGGCGTATTGTTGTAGATGGTAGGTCCACCATTATTGAAAGTAATCCGAAGTGTGATTCCCATACAAAATAACCAGTTCTGAACTTTTCGATTTTCCAGCTGTTCTTATAGATTTCTTTAATATTTAAACCATTCCTGATATACCTCCAACAATACAAAAAAAGAATTATTCAAATCAGCTCAGCCGTTTTTGAGTTTTAGTGAGACTAACGAACAGCAATAGATTTTTATTTACATAAATAAATATAATTTTTTTCACTAAAAAATTTGCATTACTGTATTATTAATTATTATTTTTATGTATTATTGGAGTATATAATTTATTGAATCATTACATTTGATTGAACATTAAATTTATCTTAACACCATCTGTACTATGTTAGTAATAAAATACTTTATTTTCCTTTTTAAATTGAAAATAAAAATTATTTTTTAGTATCTCTCCTATCCTAATTATTTAAAACATAAATTGAACTTCATACAAAATACAGAAGTTTCACTTTTAGCGCGTCTTCACATTGATTGATATACACGCACTCTTTAATTTTTTTGATTGAGTACAATTAGTGGTAGTAAATAGTTCATTGTTATGTTTAATGTCTTGCTCGTCATATTCTATACATATAATCTAAACTACTGTTATATCTTAGGAAAGATTTGTATTTTTGTATGCTTGTAGCGAATAAACTCAAAACCTACTGAGCCGATTTCGATGAAATTTGGTAAGAAGATAGTTTGAGACCGTGGGAAAGACATACGATATTTTTTATTCCAGAAATCATCCCCTTATGGGGTTGAAAATGGTGATGAAAGTCTGTATGGGGAATCAACCTAGTGATGAACCCGAGTGAAGCTAGGGTGAGTCGCTAGAATGGAATAAAAAGATAAGATTTTTTTTTAATTATTATAACTCCTTTTTATAATTCAACTCTGTCCTTATAAAGAAAGATCCAAACATTTAATTTAGGGCAAGCCCACACAATTATTCATGATTATTTTTAGTGATATCACTATTTGAAGCATGTATAAGTTATTTCAGACATGCTTGTTTCCTCACGATGTCTCTTTCATTTTAAGGAAAGTTAGTGAAAATTATTTGCACAAGAAAATCTTGGACGTGCGAGACACGGTATTTAATCAAATTATCTTAATCAATCGAGTTTTAAGCAATCGCGTTAACACTTCTGCGTGCTGGTTCAACTCGTAACGTAATTACATTTCAGAACCTAGTAGCTGGGCGACAGAGCTTCGCTTGGCGGCGTTTATCGGGAAAGGTATAAATAAATATTGTTTTTTTTTTTCAATAATAACACTTAAAAAAGAAAAAAATTATCTAAATACAAAATTTGATCGAAATTGTTAAAGCAGTTTCTGTTTCGAGACAGACGAAATAAATTCATATATACATATACTAGCGACTTACCGTCGCTCCGCTCAGGTGCATCCCTAAGGTACGTTTTAATATTTTGAGCGAAACCCTCATTCTTTTCCTAAAATAAAAGTAGCCTAACTTACTGCTTGTAATATCAGCTATCTGCCAGTAAAAGTCGTTTCAAAATCAGTTCAGCCGTTGCGGAGATTATCCGGAACAAACAAACAAACAAACAAACAAACAAACAAACAGGCAGACAGGCAAAAAAAATAAACAATTGTGTTTTTCTTATAATTACCGTATATCATTTCCTATTAAGTATAAAGTTGTCATTTTGACATTACAAACAGAAATTTCAATTTTATTCATCTGCATAGAATAGATATAGAAGAATTGCTCCTTTAATAAAAACAAAACTCGCGTACGTAAGGGCAGTAAGTAAGGCGTTAGTTTAATATTACTAGAGTTCGCCGAATGATCGAACTTCGACCATGAATATTATTGTTTTTTTTTTTATTTATAAAACTAAAGCTCGTCAATAGCTATTAAACTGTACATAATTGTCAACTTGACCACAGACTTTAACATTAAACAATAGCGTATATATGCGTGTATGTGTCAAATACATAGTAGTGTGTGTAAGGTTTTTTTTATTGATTTAAAGAATTTTTTATGCATATTCAAAAAAAAATTGCCTTCTGCACTCCTTCTCTATATAAACTATAAATGTGGGAAATTTCATACTCCTCCGTCCGTGCAATTTTCGTAAAAAGAGGTACTACAAAGTTTGTTCTTCACGTAATAACACCTCCAGGTAAATTTCTAAGAAATTAATTAAAATTTCTAAGAAATCTATTGTTAACTGTAACGCCGGCGTGTCCGCGTCGTGGAGGAATATATAGATAAGATAAGAAGAATAAATAAGAAGAGACCACATACCGACGCCTTTGCAGTTGCCGCCTGGCATGGGGGCTGTCACACGCCAAGAATCTGTCGTAGACCAAATTGTTGATCGAAACCGTCTGAGAAGCGGGACGTCCAGACGTTGATGGAGAAGAAGAAGCTTGTCCCCCATCAGATCTTCGGGGCGATTCTAAATAACAGAAATAAGTACAATTAAAACTTCATGGTCACCATATCACTTACTAGCAGAGCCCGCAGCTTAACCTACGTTTTAACTACAAAAAATGCAAACTCTTTGGCTTTACGTTGACTAATAGCAGAACCCGCGGCTTCAATCGCGCTAAAACTACAAGAAAACTAAAAAAAGTGGATTTCATAAAAACTTTCATTCCCTTTTTCACTCTCTTGGGGGTAGAATTTTGAAAAATCCTTCCTTAGTGGATGCTATCGTCATATGAGGAATACGTGTGCAATTTTCTAGCATTAAGGCTTTGGCCTGTGCATTGATACATCAGTCAACCACTTTTGCCTTTTATATATATATATATATATATATATATATATATATATAAAAAAAAATATATAAAAACGCTTGAGAGAAAATTGAGATAGAAAAGAAAGAGATATGGTATATGTGAAATCTGCATACAAATATATGTATATCTACAAAGGCAATAGGCACACGTGCGTGCGCCTTGTAAGAATCGCGGTACAGTCACAAATAATCCAAATATTTACTTGTTCAGTGAACAAGGAATTTATTACATTACAAGAGACTCACCCTCGCTTCGCTCAGGTTCGTCCCTACTTACGTTTTAACGATTAGTATAGGTTTTACAAAGATATTAGTATATGGTATATATGATATGGTTTTACAAAAGTATCATTTATGTTGACCCGGATAACCTGCTATCATCATACCAAATTTCATCAAAATCCCTCCAGTGGTTTTTCTATGATACGTTCACAGACAGATAGACAGAAAGACAAAAATTCTAACTAAAAACTCTATGTGTAGAAGATAGATTCGGCCTCTGTATCAATAATAAATATTTATTTCAATAAGATTTTTCAAAAAATATTCAATATACAGATTCGGCTTCATTAGAATTTTATTATATTTATAGATTACTATATTTCCTTTATTTATTTATTTTTTTATTTTTCAATACTTTTTTTATTTTTAAACCCACATTTGAAATCAAATAAGTCAGTGTAGCTTTTATACATACGTTGGGTAGGTTGGCTGCTGGAGCTCGCATTTTCCTGACCATCTTGAGTCTGACTCTGACTGGTTTGACTCTGGCCGGTTTGACTCTCACCGGTCTGATTCTCACCGGTCTGACTCTCGCCAGTCTGACTCTGACCGGTCTGACCCTGCCCGGTCTGACCCTGACCGGCCTGGCTTTGACTTGGTTGACTTTGAGTAGTCTGAGTCTGAGTGGATGTACGACTCTGGCTAGACGTCTGACCCTGACTCTGGCTGGAAGTCTGAGTATGACTCTGACTCGAAGTCGGATTCGAAGCTTGACTCTGATTCGGATTAGGAGCTTGATTTTGATTCTGGTTAGCAGCAGCTTGATTCTGATTTTGATGTTGCACATGCATTACGCTTTCCATTCCGGGAACAAGTCCCTGACGTATCACTGACGAGACGATGTTTTGCAAGAGATCAGCAGTTGGCGGTCCTCCCCACGGCATTTGTGCCAGATAAACTGAGAATATAACAAAAATGTTATAGTATATTAAACAAAAAATTAAATCCTAGTCATACATACTTAGACATTACGTGTTCTATGTTTTTTGTCGAGCTATATAAACTAACTGGCAGTTCATCCTCGCTTCGCTGGATAGGTTCAAGCGGTTAGTATGGAATAGATAGACTATATATTATATATTCTGAGCTTAAAGCATTGAAACATATTATAAACATTAGTTTTACAATATTGTGTGGAAGTCTAACAAACACACAAACAAACAAACAAACAAGTAAACAAACAAACTCTGCCTCTTTATAATATTAGTATTTAGTATAGACTAGCATTGCCGCCCGCGTTCAGATGACCAAGAACCAAATTCTTAAGTTTTACATATTAGTATACTCTTACATTGCAATTTTTGTATTTTTTCTCAGAGATGAGATATTATTCCGCGGTAACAAGTATCCTATATGTTGACCCGGATAACCAGCTATTATTACCATAAAAAAAATCATCAAATCCCTCCAGTGGTTTTTCTGTAATGCGGTAACAGACAGACAGACAAAAATTCTAAAAACTATAGACTCGGCCTGTTTCGATAATGATGTTTATTTCAATAAGATTTTCCAAAAAATATTTAATATACTGATTCGGCTGTGTTAGAATTTTATTATATGTAAAGATACATAGCTCCGTTTCAATATATTTTTTTAATTACTGATAGCTAGAATTATGTAATTGCTATAGCAGTTGAGCAATCACATATACAAATTACCGTTTCCTGACACCACCAGTTGAAACGTACATCTTTTTGACAAGCGCTACAACCATTACAAATTTCAATTGTCTCATAAAATTTATGACAAACACAATATCGCAACATAGAATTATAATATATCATTAAATTTTTTATAAATATAAACATTAACTCACTCTGAGAACCAAACACTGGATGTGGACCGGCGCCATCTTGCTGTTGGGGATTCGCTTGAGCCGCTCCTTGAGGTATCTCCTCCATACTCATCACAACTTCAACACCACCGAGCGTACCCGCCTGACCCAAACCCCTAAATAGATTCTCAAAATCTACAACAAAAGTTAATAGAAACCACCTGTTAGTTATATAGTTATGGTTTAGTCTTTGGTTACGTGTAAATGTTAGTTAATAGTGCATGGGTAGCGTCAGACTAGAATATAATTAAATAATTAAAGGAATACGCTTATACATCATTCCTAAAGTGAAAACAATCAAGATCGGGTTCGTCCCTAGACAAAAACAGATCTATCCCACGTGAACCGTAGATTTTTCCGGGACAAAAAATAACTTATGTGCTATACCAGACCATAATCTACATATCTCTGTCCCAAATCTCATGCAGATCCGTTCAGTCGTTCTGGTGTGTTTGAGTAAGAAACATCCATACAAAAATCCAAACATCTAAACTTTCACATTTATAATATCAGTAAAACGTAACACTGTTATATGCCAATCTGTAAAAAACTAAACCTTTCGCAACTCATACATTAATACTATAAATATATTATGTATATCATTATAGTCCGACACTCCCATTTAAATCACCCATTAAAAACAATTCATATACAGATAACATGCAACACATAAAAACCACGTAGCAACACGACATATTCTACGACACTGAACTACGAAGGACATTGTTTGGACACTCATACATTAATGTCTTATTTCTTTTTCTTTAGTTTTATTTTTTAATAATATTCTATTTTATTTATGTTTAACACCTCCAGGTAAATGTCTAAGAAATTAATTAAAATTCTAAGAAATCTATTGTTTACTGACAAGCCGGCGTGTCCGCGGTCGTGGAGTGAGTTAAAAACCTATAACAAAAAATAAAAAATACATTTTCACAAAAATTTAAAAAAACTATTCAAAATTTAATACCAATATTCAATTACCGAACAAAAATGACATGACATGAATGACAGTTCCATTTTCAAAATCTGTAGGAGAGTCCAAACCGGACAGAAAACATTGGTACATTTAAAACATTTAGTGCTATCTGTTTAACCTTCGCCGGAGTTCACGCCTCGTATCGGGAACAGGTCCTAGAATAAAATTCTTACCGAGCATTATTTGACGACGGTTCGCTTGTCCATCTTGATTGGCGTTCTGGTTTTGATTTTGGGTTTGGTTCTGATTTGGGTTTTGGTTTTGGTTTTGATTTTGACTTTGGTTGTCCGGGTTAACCGGTATAGGTACCCTGGTTTCTATTTCTACTTGATAGGTGATGGGGTCTGGTTGAACATTTATATTGACGGTCGGTTGGTTCCTACCGGCTTGGGCGGCGCCTTGTTGGGCTTGGCCTTCGGACGACGATTGGCCCGATGTGCTACCACCGGTGTTAAGTGGTCGACGAGTGGTCGATGATTGTACCACGTTAATGTGTGCCTGTGGACAAATCCATCGCTTAGTTAACATCTATCACTTTAATATTTTTCATTTAAATATGCAATTTTTTCATCAAATAATACAGATTTACCTTAGCAATAACATTTTTTATGGCAAAGAATGCATAAATTAATATACTGAGAAGATAAATAGGGTCAAATAGAAATTTCGAGCAATGCGTATTCAATTTTCATAACTAATTTTATTCATGTACTCAATAATTGAAATAAGATCATCAAGATGTATATCGCCTAATAAGCTAAATTTAAAAGTTATTAATATCCCATCTCATAAACAGACGCAAATACGACAACACACATCACATTATTCTAGTTACTATACTTCCCTTTTTCAGACGCCTGAAAAAGGAAAATATTTATTGTCAACCTGTCATCTTCAGACTCTTGATCTCTCACACGACTTGAGACTTGAACCCTGATATTGTTTAGGATACGACGGTTACGTCCTTGCAGTCCGTGTATTACTAATGACGACGAGTCGCTAGTTGCCATGCGTCAATATAAGATCGATATGCCGCACTGTGTAGGCGTGAGGCATATTGCATAGAGCGGACGTCCGAAATGTCAGAGTTCATCACAAAATGTTAAATATATCATTTGGAACCTTAAAAATGGATGGAATATCACATTTTCGATAAGTAAAAATGTTAATGTAATGTAGCTTGGGAAACCGAGTAGAGCAGGTTCAAATCTCGGGTCTCACACTTCTGATATTTTCACGCGGCGATAATTTCAAACATGACTACCACGTCTTACAGCGAAGAAAAACATCGTGATTAAACCTGCATGTATGGGAAAACCTAGCAAGTTTTCGAAAGACATGTGAAGTCCGCCAACACGCACTTTGCCAACATGGTGGTCAATTGCCTGACCCCCTAGTAATAAAGTGAGGCCTGTGCCCAGCCCATATTACAAAATATAACCAGAATTATTTGATTTTTGTATTTTATTTTGTGTTTTTACTTCTTATACTGATGGAAATTTAATACAACAAATTTTAATGGCCGTTTATCTATACATATAATAAAATTGTAACTAAGCCGAATCCATACCTTAAATATTTTTTGTAAAATCTTATGGTAATAAACATTATTATCGATACAGAGGCTGAATCTACGGTTTTTAGAATTTTTGTCTGTCTGTCTGTTACTACATCATAGAAAAACCACTGGAGGGATTTTGATGAAATTTGGTATGGTGATAGCTGGTCACCTAAATGTTAAAATGCCACCTAGATATAGGTACTAAAAATACGGGCTCTGACGGTGGTAAAACGAAATTTAATTTAGGGGCTAGTTTAGGGGAACTTTAAAGCTAGGGATTCCATACGTAGGTGGTAGCTTATGGGATGTTGGTGAAATCGGGCATTAATCACTTAACTCTGTTCTTATTTAAATGAAGTCATCCATAACAATAAGTTTAATACACATTCCTAATTATACTATAATTATCATTAAGAACGATATTGCTGTAAAAAATCTATATTTTTTTTATCAAAATTGTCAAGATAAAATAAATATGTATAACAACGACTCTTCGTTATATAGCTTTTATTCTGCCTGACTCCCGAAGGCAATAATTTTTCCAAAGACAAATTTAAAAACATGACGTAACGCACGTTGTTTTCATACGCGTAAGTGCGAATTTATGTTAACACAATTAGAACTTACTTAAATTACCTAGAATTTTCAAGTAAGGAACTGTGCATCTATGGTGTTATATATCAACTAGTGAAAAACAAAAACAAATCTATCCCACGGGAGCCGTACATTTTTCCGGGATAAAAAGTAACCATGTGCTATTCCAGAATATAGTCTATCTTTTTGCCAAATTTCATCCAGATCCGTTCAGCCGTTCTGGCTTGATTGTGTAACAAACATCCTTCCAAACTTTCGCATTTATGATATTAATAGGATAATAGGATGCTCATAATATAAAAATCTATACAGTAGCCATCGCAATTTGATACCAAAATATCACCCACATATTGTTTACTAACATAATATGTATATTAGAACTGTGGTCTGTGTGTGTGGTGTGGCTGTAGAACCGGGAGATCCTGGTTTCGATTCCCTGGTCAGACCTATTGAGTATTTGTAAATTGCTTTCTTAGATTTATTGTTTTTTCTTTAGATTTCATCTCTCTCGCGACCATGTTTATAGTAAATATAAAACATTCGAAACGTCGGAAAACGAAAGAATTAGTTATTTACAATATTGAGTGTTTCTGTTACGAAAGCCACAGAAAGAGCTCAAAGTTGGAAAGTCGACGGTCTCGGAGAAAATAATCTCTCACCGCTTGTGTCGAATTATCGTACCAACCACAAGAAATTAACAAGAATAGAGAGTGCACGTTGTGTCTGTTCGTGTAATTATATTTTTAACTTCACTTCACTATAATTATTCACGATTTAAAAAAGCCGATTAATTTTGGTAATGTAATAATTAATACATCGGTCCTCTATTAATCGATTAATAACGAACGATTTAGTAAACCGAAATAATAAAAGTTAACGGTTATTCTTAGAGTAAGATTAGACTTAGGTTTTGATACCCAAAAAAACCGGTTAATTTATTCATAAGTAAGGAACGTTCATGTATCCTGCTACTAAGCAAATCATCATTAGAAAAGATTTGCCAAATGTAAACGCACAATAACTCATTCTAACCTGTTAAAATTGATCATGGAACCTAAATTCATCAAAAACCGTTTTCTTGGTTTTAACTGGTTTAACCGGGTTAAAGAACGTAACCGAGACCTTAAATCGAAAAAGCCTTTCGGTTGAATAACCAAAACCGGTTTAAAAAATCCGTTTTTTTTAAAGCGAGCTCTGACTGAGATTGTCGACAATGGCTAAAATTTATCAAAAGGACATCATGTACAAACCTGCACAGGTAAGGGGTGCCGCAGCAACGCCTCAGACGTGAGTCGAGAGTTGCCGTGCGTCATTAGTAGGCCGATGTCGCTCACTATGTGGTAGGCGTGCGAGAGGCTGTGGTACACCTCTGCTGATATCTCGGCTGTGCGCTGCCTACGCTGTAGCTGCCCCTCGTTTAGACGGACCTTGGATAGAAATTGCAAATTAATAAATATATTAAAAATTACAATGAAATAGAATGGACCGCAAAGAATTTTAACATTTAAGTATGCACTTACCTCAGGATCGCTGGCCTCGCGAAGGGTTGTTATGTACATTGCTCTAAACGGCGCAAATTCCGCATCAAGTTGGTGAAGTTGATCGACAAGCTCGCCGAAATCACGGGGCGGTGTGTGATACGATGGCCGCATCGAGCGAATGCTGTTTAAAACAAAAAATACCTTTGTTTAACATGTTTAGATGTTACAACTTACCTAGTCTGGAGGCATTTTGTATAAATCTATATAAATAAAACTGAATCAACGAAATGAAAATTAAAAGTTTTTTTTTCTTTTTCCCGGAAATCATTAATTAAGGGGGTGAGAATGGGGATGAAAGTTTGTATGAGGAAGCAAGCTAGGGACTAACCCGAGGAAACCGAGAGTGAGTCGCTAGTATAAAATATATAAATAAACCTATTTTATCGACGACGTCTATCTATCAGCGGGTTGTATCTCATGAATCGTAATAGGTAGAGTTGAAGTTTTTACAGAGTGTGTATTTCTATTGCCGCTATAACAACAAATAATAAAAAGACCAATATGGCGAATTTCTAAACGGCCGCCATGCAAATCTTACCCGGAGGACAGAACCATTCATGTGCGAGTCGGACTCGCACTTGACCGGTTTTTTATTTTTTATTTATATTTCTCTTTCTTATGTATTTCTTGTACGGTGAGCAATAAAGTGTTAATCTCTGTGTCTTATCTGGTTACATATTTCCTTACACTTATTATGAATATTTACTAATAAACAATATTACAATTACATTTCATGTGTTCATTTCTACTACGAGAAATTATTGTACTGTCCATTTTTATAATAAAACTAGTTTCTAAACGGATTTGTGAAATTGAAAATATTTTTCATTAAAAATCTTGAACAGTGCCTTAGTAGTAAAAAAAAAAACATTAAAATAAAGTATTACCCAGGTACACATTTCCAGAATAAAAAGTATCATAAATTAGTCCAGAGCATATTGTACGAATGTGCAAAGTTATCATAAGCTTTCAACCATCCAACCAACCAAGGTGATCCTACCAGTCAAAGCTTACTTTGCATATTATACAAAAAATATAGTTATGCGATGCGATGCGACGTGTCCCTAGAAGCCTTACATGTTGCTTATGTGTTCCAGGTTATAGTCTGTGTACTAATGTTCACCTACAAACTTGTGTACAATATTCACTTTTGCTTCTAGTCTGATATGTATATAAATAAATAAAATTGAATTCTGTATTGCCCAAATAACTGCTTTTTACTAAATGCATATAAAAGCATATACGGTACTTACAAGAAACAATTTAAAAAAAAATGTCTGTTTGTTCTGGCTTTCTTTGACTTTCACTGGTGGCAGATAGCTAGTGTTATAAGGAGTAGCATAAGTTACTACTTATGCTACTTTTATTTTAGAAAAAGAATTGGGGTTCCGCGCAAAAATATTAAATAAATGTTATATTATTAAAATTAAGTTAATATATCAACTAACCTTCGGCCCCTGCTCTGCCTGGTGGTACCGGAGGCTGGTTCAATCTGTAAAATTTCTCGGTATTAATAACAAAATCAAAATACACAGCCGGTACATCGCTCTTGCAAGACGTTAGGAGACATGTTAGTAAAAATATTATATAAATCAACAAATGTTTATTTTACAAAAAAAACCAACTGTTTCTCAATATCCCGTCACCATTAAAATGCAATATAACCGAATATTTACATGTGTTGGAAAAGCAAAAGATTTATGAAACTTGTCAAGCCGTGTTAATGTTTAAGATGTAGTAATGTGCCCCATAGCCGTGAAAAAATGAGTTTATTGATTTATGATTCATTTATTTTTAATTTATGAAGCAACATATAGACTTATGCGAAGATTAATTTATTATATATAATTAATGGTGAATGCATTTAGTGCCAATTTGAATAATTTATAATCCTTTTAAGCAAATATTTTCATATAAAACAATATTTTCATAATCGCATGAGTGTAAACGTTACTGTTAGTATGTATTTGATATCGTCGCTTAGCCGTACTAAGGATGTCACAAAAGTTAGTTCCACTATTGTACATCCTTCCATTGGTTAAGTTTTTTAATTATTAGGGTTAGTTTTCTTCATTCGATTAGAAAAAGTTACGTTATTTGTATAAAATGTCTAAAAATTAAATTCATCGCCTTACAAGTTAAACCAGAGAATAACCAAGTCAGCTATGCGACGGTATGATTAAGAACAAAAGTGAATATGCAAAAAGTATTATAGTATACAAAATAATTAAATTATTATGAATTATAAAAAAGGAATTATAGATATATTTGCAAATACAACTTTGGTTCTCAATAAAACGTCACTACGAATTCCAAAAGCCATGCGTAAAGCGTCTATATAGGGAAGATTGGCTGATCCTGTTATATACAGAAAAAATGTAAATCATTACACTGGCTCTTGTACGTGTAAATTAGTATCACAGCATAAAAATCCATACAGTTGGTGATCCCATTTGATCTTAGCAGAAATACCGGCAAATACAAGGGTTGTTAACAAACGATTTCAAAGTTCAAACTCTGTAGTGTCAATATGTGGTAAGTTAGTTATACTCGTCAACCCTATCGCCCATCCCGACTGTCATATAAAAATATGTACGACAGCCGGGAGCCCGTCACCATTGTCTTTCCCAGCACGCACCGTCACGCCCGATCAGGCTTCGCCAAACAACTGTATGGATCAGTAAACTGTATGGTAATATTATATCACAGTGTAATATAGATCGACCAATCTTAACTAGATAGACACTATGATCAACCTGATAAATCAGAGGTCTTTGGTGGATTTGACACATCACCTCGTCGGGCTGGGAACTAGCCTCTGCAAGACTGCCCGCTGGCTCCGGTGGGTCTTCAGTTGGGTAATTAGGTGGCTCCTATAGGCACAATAATATAATGAACACACATACACTATATTACTCCGCTAGTTCCAGCCGTCGCAAATGCATCGGATTACTCTCGTACCGGGTAAGGACGTATTCACAATTTTGTTTGAATGCATTTCAATAAATCCCGTTATTTTATCTTCAATTGAATTTAAAGTATTTTAAAGTTGAAAATTACGAATACTATATTTATTTTTATACTAAAGTACGAAGGCAGTGGCAGCCCAGTGGTAACGTGTTCGCTTGGGAAACCCTGTGAAGTGGGTTCAAAACTCGGGTCCCGCACATCTGATATTTTCATATGCGAATCACTTCTAACATGATTAGCACTTGCCTTATGGTGAAGGACAACATCGTGAGGAAAACTGCATGTCTGAGAGAACCTAGCAAGTTTTCGAAAGACGTATGAAGTCCGCCAACCTACACTCGACCAGCGTAGTGTACTATGGCCAGATCCCCCTTGCAAGGAGGCCCGTGCCCAGCAGTGGGACGTTAAAAAGTGCTGAACACATACTAAAGTACCTTAAATTACTTACCTAATAACTTTAAGGTGAAAACACAAAATATATGGACTCCATCCACATATTTCAAGCTTATTATAATTTACAAATACATAATGCTGATCGAAAAACACGAATGCATAATTTGTTTAGTAGATGAGAGTTCTTGATAAAAAAAAAACCATCTACTTACACGAACATACACAATTATTATAATATGATTTTAAAACATCAGGACGGAATACCACTTTCTCTGCAAACTTTGTACCAGACACATGCTTGTGTATTTGAATTCTAGATGCAAGACTTGAATAAACTAATAAATGGTAGGGTTGTTTACTTGATATTAACAAATGTTTTGTTAGTTTTATTTCAGCAAATGTTGACTCCAATAGAAGCTCTTGAACATCTTGAAATTAACTTGATTGAGCCAAATACTGCGCTATTACGAGTAGACGCATGACCGTTAGGCATATAGAAAGAATTTAGTTTCATAAAGGTAAATGCACGTATTATTTTTTTTCCCTTTATATATGCAGTATCCATATAGAACCTCGTTGGTGCAGATTATTTGAGTGGCCATGTCGTTTTAGGATTTGAGGTTAACCACGATGTTCCACATTTCAATCTCTTCAATGACCACTGAGGCAAAGGAAGATCATGGCATTTGTGTCGCTCCGTAGTGTCTCAGCATTTTAAGCAAACCAGGGTTCATTAATAATTGTTAATTATGTGGTTCCGTATACGCTGTAGCATACTGTACGTTGCTTTTACCGAGTACTCGCAAGGTGAAAACCGAACGTCCCGATTCGTTACCAATATGTTGTTATTAAATAAATTAGAAGTTTGCTTGCCACCGACAGAACCGAATTTTTTCCCATCAACCAGTGTACACTTTCATTTGTATCCCTTTCTTTTGTGTTATAGGTGATTTCTGTAACTGTCCAGTAGGGGAAACCCCTTTATATGAACATAAATTAGATAACAAAAAACGTTCTACTTGCTTTTGTTTTTTAGATACAGCATTGTTTGAGGGAATGATTGTTAAATGAATCCAAATCTTATTCAAAACACACTTTTTCAACTTATAACGTACAAACTAATTTATGCCTTAATAAGTAACACTTAAAAATTAAAATTACATCGCAACAAATGAATATGCAATAGTTACTGAATGAATTCTTTTACATTAGCTACTATATGTTTTCTGAAGACTTACTATAATTCTTACAAGTAGAAAAATGTACATAAAGAAAAAAAAACCTTTACACGAGGTTGAAATAAAACTTCTTTGGCGCAATTAAATTAAAGCAAATCAAAATATAAAAAATATTTTTTATAAAATTATTAGTAATATATATTTTTTAAATAGTATATTTTATAAAAATACTAGCAGTACCCGCGCTTTCGCCCACGTCCCAACTTCCGATCGCTAACAAAATTCACAGGATCACCCGCTGGGCTAATCTGAAGATTACCTGAAAATTTCATCAAAATCGCTCCTGCTGTTTTGGAGTCCATAGGAAATATACATACCTACACACTTATTTAATTTAATCAACAATTTAAATTTATTTATTGCTCGGAAAATGGAGTCTTTTATGAAAATTTTGTGACACACCGACGGCTGCGCCACCTACCGGATCCATTTGTGAATTCAAACCTGCAGGGACCCACTCGAAGATACACAAAAAATATGATTAAAGTTGTCCCTGCCGTTTAGATGATCAGTGGCACACCGACTGCAGCACCACCTCCAGGAGCCCATTGAAATATAAAAACTAAATTTCATCCAAATCGGTCCAGTCCTTTAGGAGGAGTAGGATGACAAACACACATACAAAAGAATTATATATATTAAGATAAATAATAAATATGATATTTTCTTTCAAAATTATAGTTAATAAACTTGATTCTCATTTCCGCGCCACTTGTTTCCCTAGTCACGCCTAAAAATGTTTTACTTCAAAAATTTAGCTTCAGTAACTGTTGCAATCAAATATTTGAGCTTGTTGATACTGCAGCTGGTTCTATTATCACTAAATTTATACAATTTTCGCATTTAGCAATTATTATTATTATTATTATTCTAATTTTAGATATAAGTTTTGTGAATACGTCCTTATAAAAATCAGTAATTGGATTATAAAATAAAAATTGAAAAAAAAAGTAAGGATATCAAATCAATAAGAAATAATAATGTAAATAACTACAGCCAAATTTAGCAAACGTTTTTAAGTACGCAAAATATAGTATACTCCCATCACCGCTACCTAAGCCTATACAACTACAAATAGGATTTTTAATTTATTTATATACGGAAACAGTGCGCTGGACGTCCACAGCTTCGTTTCTTTTTTTGGTAAATATTCTTTATTTCTTACATCACTCTCATTTTGTTTAAGAGCTTCTACTTGATCCCTTATTTCTCCAATCAGCCGTCGAAGAAATTCCAGTCGTGAAGCAGTCGGTGACAAGTTGAGACCAGGTTGATCTTCAATTTCAATCCCATGAGCCGAAGCTGCCAAAGCCTAAAAATATCACAACCATTAATACCAAAGGAATAAAAGTATGCAAAACATCAATATCATGCAACACGAAAGCTGTCAAATATTTCATAATCTTGAACAATTTTATAATTGCGTACAAATATATATATATAACAAAGCTGTATCTGTATACTTGATAGTAGCAGCTACATTCAAACATTGAGTGATTTTTGTAAATATATATAGGTATATAGAGAAATGTAAAGGTAGATATTGAAAAATACCTTACATTTTCAGCCAGCTCTAAAGATCAATATATAGAAAGATGCTCTTACCACAAGGCGTCTTATTTGTTGTTGAGTTATATGGTTTAGGTGTAAAGGACTGAGTATCGGGTTAGGAGTTATATTTGCTTGACTTGTGAATGCATTTTCACGTTCACTCTCCCTTTCCCTGTCCCGTAGAGCTGAATCTCGGGCTTCAACAGAAGGGGGCGCCCTCTGCACCATATGCACCACCTTACCCTCGACTCCTGGAAATTTCATTAATTTCAATCGATATTCTTTATCTTAGGTTCCCAAATTCAAAATGGTTTTAAAAGTACCATAATTCCATATAAAGATAAAGGTTCCCTATGAGATAACCCCTATGTAGAATTATTCCCTTTATAGTTATATATTTTATATATCCCTATATAAGTTATAGAACTTATTGATAAAAATAAATCTTGAAAAATCATTGACAATTGACATTTATCACAAAGCATACACAAAACCCACATCAAAATTTAGTATCTCCTTTTTTCAGGTTGCATTCATTATTAATATCACAATCAGTCATTTAGGCACATTAATTCAAAGTATTACCATAATCCGATAATTTCTTGTGGTCTTGTAGGACCCTGCCGCAAAATATTAGCCTCTGCAGACCAATTTCGATTCCCATCTGTTCCAATATTTTCTCCTTGAGTTGATGGACAGTGGCCTAAAAATATAACAAATCTCTTAAAATAAGTGATATTACAATTATCATATTTCAGTCATATTAAAGTACAAATTTATTTAATATCAATCTATATCAATGTCATATCTTTACTATAAAAACAGTTAAGCTATAGGTCTAAGTTTACATATTGGACCATTTGTGAAGTTAGCTCATAAGGCAATGTGTCAATGTGTCAGTCCATCAGTTCATAAATAGAAAGTTTTCTCTTATTCTTGTCTGAAACTTATCCTATCACATAATATTAGTGACAGTAAAATATTAAATACGATTTTCTTTGTTTACATTATGATTATGCATTAATTACTTATTGCAGTTATGATTCAAGACATATTTTTAGCAGAGACAACAGTAAACATCACTGAAACCACTTTAAGCAATAAAAATGCATTGGGACAATATAAAAGTTACAAATATTAACATAACTTGTTGATATTTTACATCTATGACCAAGTTTAAACTACATAATAAAAATGTTGATAAGTACTCCAAAGCCATTGTATATAATAAAAATAATAAGTTAGTATAATAAAAATAATAAGTAACCTATATATTTTTTCATATAACTGTTTTATAATGTGTTAGCTATGTCTTATTCGCGAATGCTGCAATAATTATATATATAATATGCAATAATTTGTTACTAATTATATACATAAATACATTGGATAAAAATAACAATCCTTCCTACTTTTTAATTAAAATAAAAATAAAAAGCATTCGCCAAAATGATATAAAAGGCTAAGATATAGAACACTGACTAAAAATAACAATTTTGTCTACTTTATTAGTGTTTTTGTACTAGCAAATTGCTTTTGTCATTCAAAGTAGATACAGATATATAACAACATATATCTAAATTACTCAATGCTTATAGTTAATTATCAAAATATATGAAAAACTTAAATTATTCAAGAAAATTTACACACTGCCTATAGTATATTGACGATAAGAAACCTTCGCAGCCTGCAGGTATGTACACAATATTACACCAAAGTATTATAAGAATCATATAAATGTTGTCGGAATGCTTGGATTACAAACCGACAAACACACAATAACTTCAAATAAATATAGAAGATTTTACAAATGTATATATGGTTTTAACACCAAAATAGTAAATGTTCTAAATGTGTATAATAGATGATTAAACTTATAAACCACAAATATTACAAACAAAGGCAAAGGTGATGGTGTGCTATATAACTACTACAAAATAAAGATTATGATTATTTATAAAAAATCGATTAGCTTGAAAATTAATACAAAGCAAATTGGTATAAATATACCACGAATATAGTTTCTACAAAAATTGTACTGTCGCCAATAAGAATAGATATTTCGAGTATCCCTAAGCATAAATGACATATAAAAAGCGATTTTTTGCTTATTGTTAAACTTACCTCATCGTCCACAGTAAAAGGATGGTCTCTGGAGTCCAGCGTTTTTATTGTAAACTGAATCATTTTTACAGGAAAACATGTAACAACCTCAGCAAAGTAGAATATACGCTGCGAGATACACCTACAACGCAAAATAATGTATTTTATCACCAAACAGTACAAGAAAATGCATAGAACATAGAATTTAATAAACCCACGCTCAATACGGAGAATTTTCTAATGGAAAAGTAATTGGCAAATATAACTATATCAGTCCGTACTGTATGATTCCGTGTGCTAGAGGAAGATGGAGAAAGATAAATGTTGCCATGCTCAAGCGTTATTTTAAAGTTAAAAGTAAAGCCGCATGATAAAGTAATATAATTCTAAAATTTTAATTATATTTTATAACCTGAAGTATAGTCAGAAAATAAAACTGCAATGCATTATCTTTATTTGATATTAACTATTTAGTTACATCAATGAATGTTTTTTTTTTAAATAGCTCCTTTAACTCTTCCATGTTAAAGTCCATAGAATCGCGTATATAAATTTTATGAATCTTATAATACGGCAAGCAAACGGACAAACTGATTAATTTGCATATTATAAAAATTAATGCATTTTAGCAACACTGACCTAACGCAAGCGCGGAAACATTGATCAATAACTTGGCGCAGGTCTGCGTCTTACCTATTATAATTATATTGATACGCAATATCTAGGCCCGGGAAATAAATCAATACTGCAATGCATTGTCCGAAATGTTTGAACTTTGCCCTTTATGTATTCATCTGTTAATGATAAATTATAAAAATAGGTTTTGCATCCTAAGCACACAGATATTTTTTTTCATATAATCTAATTCACACTTAAAATAAACCAGTATATAATTCCACATAATACACCGGCAAACTTACAATAGCGCTTACAATTTACTAAGCCGATTATAATGACATTTGGCGAAATTTTCAGCCCACTTGTCATAATAAAAACTAGTAAACCAGCCCTGACTTCCTCTTTAAGCGTAAAGTAATATACACAATGTGTAGATCTAATACATATTTACAGTTTATAACTATTTTATTAACAGTAATAAGTTACCAATTATACTCTACAATCAGCAATATTGACGGTGCTATTGTAGAAACTTTAGCTGTAGTCCGCTCAATAGCTCATTATTGCCCTTAATGTCAATGATAATAATATTTACTATGTCGGGAAACCAAACGCAAAACCCACGTTGAAGTAAAAGTATCGGTCAGATATATACGACTTTGCGCCACAATGTCGAAAAATAATATTTTAATAAATTTCTAAGTGTAATAATTAAAAGAAACAGTCTCCACAGTGATATTTCAATTAAACATTTTTATTGCACAACCAACAATGCTCAAAAATCCAAGAATGTGTCATTTTACTCAAATACAGCAGTGTATTTGAGTAAGAGATCGGTAAAATAACTAAAATATGTTTCATTTTGATTTTTTTTATATAAATAATAGACAATTTTCTTAATACGCTGGTGATTTTGCTATAAAATCTGATATCATTATAATGTATCCTAGTCAAGAAAAGGTAGGTATATTGCAAAAAATAACATCTAATTTTGTACTATTGTACATCGATTCTATTTTTAAATTCTATTTCATTATAATAATAGTATCTATGTATGTGCTACAAGTAAAATCGAATAGATCGACCAAGTAAATCAACTTATTTTAAATTTAATTAAGAATCCGTATCCTTTTTTGGTTTTAGTCACATAATATTCGTGACAAGAGTAGGTAGTACTTATTATATCATTTACGATAGTTTATGTTTTTTTAATGGACATTGAATTATCATACGCCCCTTTTTTCTACACATGGTAGGTTTTATCTTACTCGCTTACTAAATATTCTATTATCGCCAGTATCGACATGTCCGCCAAATCGCATCGGCAGATGAAGCTAAGGTAAATATTTATACAAAACAATAAAAGATGAAGGAGAATGATATAGTATAAGCATTGGCTTTTAACTTTTTTTTCTTGGAATTGTATATTATTTTGGCTTAATAACAATTGTAATCACATTTGAAATGGGAAAGAATTCCAGAAAGGAGGGCACCACACGTATGGCCTATTTACATTCAGTCTGAGGTTGAGTAATTTATTGTGATATCTCATTATATATATAGCTTACAATATGTAAAATTTTAAAAAGTGCTGGGCATAAAATTATACTAAAGGTAAAGAAGTTTTATAAAGCAAAACAGCGGAATCATGGTGTTTTGATACCTTTAAATAACGTTCGCATGAGAGTTACCACCGTGACAGGTACATATTTGGAGTTGTTCCTTGTTAGTTTGTTATCACTTATAATAGTTATTGAAGTTTTTATAAAATTGATAAAAGGAAATATACATTCCCACATTTTGGCTTAAAAATATCTAAGACAACGAAAACGAAATTAAGCACACGTTAATAAAATTTATAGTATTTTACTGATTATTGGAAAATTTGCGCATTAACGACATCTAATCATTATCTATTCAAGCAAACAATAGTGTTATTTTAATGAATATAGTATAAAAAAATTAAGAAATCATGAGTAGATTGATCATATTGACCGACTCTGTCCTTACTCCTTCTCCAAGTTCTCCGTCTACACTTTTCATTGTCTATGCCATGGATGACAAATTAAAGTCTATGCCCATATAATCATAGACTCTGTCCTTAATCTGTGGACTGTGGTCATAGATGAATGATGAATTGAGAATTCATAGCAATTCATAGATCCATGCTACAAACACCAATGACCAAACTGAATTTAATCTAGTTAAGTATATGTTAATGAATTGATTTTCAATCTGGAGTTTGATAAGTACCTCTACCAACGTTCTCCTACTGCGCATGATCAGTAGAGATGTGTTCATGTAAAAAAAATATCGATATTCTTTTCGATATAATGTATCGTGTTCTTGTATCGATACTTTGCGCTATATCGTATAAATATATTGATATTTTCGATATATCGTAAGTTATCTGTTTGTATTTAATTAGACTGTAATATTAAATATTAGATAGGGATTAGGTTAATATGAGTAAAAACAGTTAGTGAAGAAACAAAACATTTTATTTTTATTAATCCCAACACTTTTTCTCTAGACCTTGCCAAAACAAAATTTTATTAACTCCTTTGGCTTTCAGTCTGTTTCTCCTCCGAGTTCAAATACCGGTTTGCCGTTTTCGTACCGTTTATCGTTATATACACTAACTGTATTAAAATTTCGTAAAGTATATTAAACAAAACAGACAACTTTTATTTATACTTTATAGGTTATTTTGTAATTTGTACGAAGATGTGAGAACGATCAACGATTAACGAAGCGGAAGCCGGAACTCTGATTTCGGAAGCCAGTGAGAGTCTCTAGGCACAGACACACTACGAGTTGCGACTTTTATTTGTCATCCATGTTTTACGACTACAGTCACAGATAATGATTTTTTTCCTACTACTAGCCTGCCTTCACGGACAGTAGGAGAATAGTTTTCGATTTACGTGTTTTCGCGTTTCGTATTGTATTCGGGTATTGTATTATTATATAATTTTACGTTTTATTTTTACTCAAGTAGCCATCTACAAGTAAAGGAATCAATATAAAAAAAATGGATTGTTCTTTTAATTTCTCACCATATTTGATATATGGGATGAAATATATCGATATGTAATATTGATACTAGATGATTCTATAATATCGGGTTAAAGCGATATATTGTGTACATATATCGATATTTTATGAAATATCGATATATATCGTGCACTCTTAAGTCAAGGTGTAAAAGCTAAGTAATGATCATTGATCAGTCAATTTCTTGAACTGAAGTGTTGCGTGCTGTGTTAACTGCATAAGCTTACTGCAAAAAATATTTTTTGAATACTCAGTACAAAAAAGCAGTCACCATTCTGTCGAAAATGGCTTCGAGTGTTGATGAAACTTTGCCGGCAGGATGGGAAGCTAGAAAAAGCAGAAGTACTGGTAAGTAATTTTTTTAAGTTATTGATTTTTTGATTTACCTCGGTGAGAAGCTTGTAACTATAAAATTTTCTCGTAGTTTAAATCGTGAATGCATTCTTTATGAACATGATATGAAATAATATTTATGAATTTCTGAAGGTATATTATAATATTTTATATACTAAAGGCATCTAGGGACACCTCTGAACGAAGTGACGCATTAGTTTTTATTACATCGAAAATGAATAACTATCTGAAAATCTTGCACAAATTATAAAACTACTAGGTGAATGATTTTTGTTAAAGAATGTGGCAGTGGCATGCTGCTTTAAATAAACTTTGTGAAAATTATTCCATTTCTTCACTAATATATACTCTTGATCTTGTATGTTAACAGGTACAGAATTTATGTTCTTTATCTGATCTATCCATACCAGTTTACGTAGAGAGAATTAGTTGGCTAATTAATAATTTCAACCTCTCTTAGATATTCCATAACCTTCACTGCAGTTTACTGGTCCGTGGGTATGTGAAGTTCCATATGTGCTCCAAAGTATTATGAATTTGAATTTGTCAATCTGTCCTGTTTATTTTGTACTTCATTTGTAATTGAACTAGATTTGTCTTTTGTAAAACACACAACTCCCAAGTGTAATTATGTTTACCTATGTTGGTGTAAACAAGCTTGCCAACTTTGCAAAAAAGAAGTCGGTCATTCCTTGCTGTAGTTACTCGATTGCAATCTTATTTACTGTTACTTGTCTGTATACTGTCTATCTATAATGAAAATATATTGATACATCATATAATGACTTGTACTTAAATGAATATTCACAAAAAACTTCCTTTATTTAGAATTCATAGTGTATTTTATTGTAATCTGTTTTGTTTTTGATAATAACGAATTTTTGTACCAATACAAATATATATTTAACATAAACCTTTTTTTATAAAAATAGCAGAAGCATAATATATTCATACTTAAATTCATTTTTATAACATTTTTTTTATACTTATATAGCCAATTCAATTCTTTATCTGTGGCTTCTTATAGCCAGCCATATATAGCTATTTTATTTTACAAGCAATAAAAAAAATTCATAAACAAAACGCGACTGCATAATATGTCAAGCATGAGTAGCATCGGAAAACTTATTTGGGCGTGAGGTCACTGTTTCCCCCGAGAAGCACTTGGAACCTGCAACGCCTATTCAGACAAGGAAGGTTTCGCTGGGTTTTAAGGGGTAATACTGGCTTTTCTAGCTAGTAATTGCAATTTCCAACGTCAAAAAAATAACAAACATAGTATAATGCTGTCTAAGACAAGAATAAATAAATAAATAAACTTGTAGCAAGAATCTCACACCAATTATAGAACATTTAGCAAAATTGAGCATTAACGTCAGATACCAAACAATACTGAACGTTATAGAGTATTGGATAGTGGGCATCGGCATGATCTCTTTAAGAGACAACAAAAAGAAGCAACAAAGCTCGCCTAGAAAAGTCATTTGTTATGAAATATAAACAGATTTTAATTGAGTCAAAAGAAGCTGCTTGTGAGTGTTAATGCATAATAATTATTCATAACAGCTTCTTAAGACGTTGCACAAAAATTGCAACTAAACGTGTTAAAATTTCAGGAACTTCAACTTTCATTCGAACTTTCTAGAGACGATTCGAACTGAGTTCAGTGGTAATTGCTCAATTTAAAATTTTATATACGCTGTTTTTAAAATCCCTCCTTTTAAATAATTTAAAATAGAACCGTTTCTACAAAACATAAGGTCATCTGGTCCGACGATCGATCATGTTTGCGTAGGTTGCCCTGCTCCCCTCTAGGTAATGCGTTTTCAAAGGCAGAGCTCGGCGCACGCAGATCGATATTGCAACACAACTCGCCTTGCTTTAAAATTAACATCACATACATACTAAGATATTACTCTGTTCTTTTGCTTCTTAAAATATTATTTGCACAATAAATTGAATTCTTTCGCGGTTTACATTTGAATACAGTGTACTGAAAACAATAAAATCAGAGTAACAATAGATGACTTAATAAGATGAGTCATATATAAAATGTAGCCATACATCTAGATTTTAAGTGTATATCAACATATTGTTGTATATTTAAGGTACAATATTGTTTCATCAAAATAGTACACCTGAACCATGAATGAACCTATGAATTTATTAATCTACTAGCGACTCACACTCCTTCACTCTCCATCCCTCCAACTATCTTCACATAAAAAATCACGCCAATCCGTCACTCTGTTTCGACGTAAAAGAAGGACACACAAACAAAAACTTTCACATTTATAATATTAGTATGGATTTTCTGTATGCTTGTTGTGTCTTTTAACTGTCTCAGTGGTCTAGTGCTAAACATACATGTTTAATCGAAGCGGATATAATCGGATCTTGTAGCCGTACACGGCTGCAGATCCGCAGGTCCTGGGTTTGAATCCCGGGTCGGGCCAAATTCAAATACTGAGTTTTCTGTTAAGATATTCGCAGTAGTAGCCCGAAGTTGGAAAGTTGGCGGTGTTGCACCCCCGTGCCTCGGAGTGTAACGTCGATCCTGCGCGTTAACTCTCATCGCTGGTGTTTTCTTTTTTATGGGACTAAGGGGGCAAACGGGCAGGAGGCTCACCTGATGGAAAGTGATCACCTCCGCCCATGGACATCTGCAACACCGCAGGGCTTGCAGATGCGTTGCCGGCCTTTAAAAGTATCATCCTCGAAGTATCATCCCACAGGAGTACTAAGAGTGTCAGGAATAGAGAGTGCGCGTACACACACACACAAACACACACACGATGTACTATAATATCTCTTGCGCATCTGGGTAGTCTCAGTGAGATTGGCGGCCGTGGCCGAAATCGGTCAGAAGGATTTACGTATGTGTTCTAGACCAGCTGTGTCTATTTGACTAATACTTAACTAGGAAAAAACAAGAAACTTCGAGTATCTACCCTCGATTAACATTTTTGGGGTAGCTAAATATGGAGAGTTGATAAATTATTTTGAAATATTCAAAATAAAAGCAAAATGAAAAGTTGTGTCCATGTGTAATGCTTAATAAAGACAACAATTTTTTTTTTACTATTGCACCTATCACAACTTTAATGATTAACTTAATCCAGGTTTGACCTACTATCTGAACACTCATACCAAGAAATCTCAATGGGATAAGCCCAAATCTCCGGCTCCGCTTGTGGATGAAGATGACGAGGAAGCTGCTCCAAGCCAGGTTCAATGCAGCCACCTTTTGGTGAAGCACGCTGGCAGCCGTCGCCCGTCGTCTTGGCGCGAGGAGAACATTACTCGCTCTAAGGAAGAGGCAATGGAGCTGCTAAAAGGTAAATCACAATCAAAGAACGTTTATTTATTACATAGTACTTATTGGTAAACTAAAATTTAAGTAAATGTAGGGTATTAATCTATACTATTCCTATCTGTTTATTTTATTTATCGAATGTGATAATTAAACATGCCACAGTTCGTTACAGAAGACTTAAAATGTTACAGAATATCGCAGGAAAATCGTGGACAAGGAGGCTACGTTTGGAGAGTTGGCCAAGGAATTCTCTGATTGCTCTTCAGCCAAGCGTGATGGGGATTTGGGCCGCTTCAAAAAGGGCCAAATGCAACGTCCTTTCGAGGATGCGGCATTTGTTCTAAAAATTGGCCAATTGAGCCAGATTGTCGATACTGACTCTGGTCTCCATATTATTCTTCGAACAGCTTAAATTGCTGATGACCCCAGTAGACTCCCATTGCGACCCTGTATCTAAGTTTGTAACTTTTTAACATGTTCAGATTGAATTTTGAACAAATTATATGAAATAGTTTGGCAGATTTCAGGCAATAATATAATAATAGTTGTCCTAAAATACTAAAAGTTTTAGTAACAATTTAAAAAAATTATATTCTTTTTACTACTGTAATCATTAATAGAAGTAATATGAACATGTTAATCAAGTTGCCATTCTATGCTATATGTCATATCGTATATATCATATTCACAAAAAGCAGTATTTAATATTATGTATGTTAGAAAAGAGAAAATTTTATTTCAAATTTCATTAGAACTACACCAGTAATATTAATAAAGGTAGACTCTATAGTATTTCTATTACATTTATGAACAAACTTTGGATAAATTTACTTATTATATCTAGATTTAAGTGAAAATGTATACTTACTGCATTTACTTATCACATTACTTTAACATTTATCATACTTTAACAATATCATATCACTCCATTTTATTGATATTATAAATTACTCATAATTCATTTTAAATAATTTTAATTACATAATTTTAAAATGTTTAATTTAGGTACATTGTGGTAAGTAAATAAAGATAATAATACCACCAAAAAATTGTACATGTGTAGAACAATTTTTGTATAACAATATATTTTCAAACTAAGATGATGAAGAAAGACTGTAAATTAAGTTTTTTTTATTCTTTTTAAGGGACATACAAAGTTAGGCAGAAAAAAAACAAAGTGCTAAATATGGTGACCTTTGCATTTTTCCTACATCATGAACATTTTTCTACATTGTTATCCTTTTAGTTCACAGTATATGGTTGAGATTTTTGTTTATTTTAATTTTGATAGCAATAATGCCCCTATATGTAGGAAGTACTTTATTATAAACCAGAATACAAGCATCCTCCATTCCAAATTTGATTCAGAGAAATTACTTCTCCTATATTGTATTTTATACTCGACATAAAGTTCAGCTATGTTTATTTAAAATATTTTCAATATATAACATTTGTTTTTCAAATGATACAGCACAATATATTTAAAATACAATTCATTAATTGCTTAGTCGTAGGTACTTAGTATTAAATGTGTAGAATTAGTGGCTTTTGGATTTATTGTAAGCGGCCAAGCCGTCCTGTCTCTCAGTCGTTCCTAAAATTCTGTCGCAGTATGTCCCATTGATGTCATATGTATTACCCAAAAATATACTCTGCAGAAATAAATATTTGTTATTAAAATGGAAATTTTAATTGTGCCTGTCTAACTACTCTACGCAATAAAGTCAATATAATTGAACTAGAACAAAATTCTAATATATCATGAAACAACCTGAAGAATTCTGTCAATGATAATTAATAATCATGTCTTGGCAATTTAGTTTACCCGCTAAACTCATGTATGTGTACGATCTTGCTCCATAATGGAGTTTCATACAAGTAAATAATAAATATATAAATAATTTACATGATCCTTACTATAAATATTTTTTTCACCCAGTTTTTAAAATAATCACCAAAAATACATATAAAGCGGATTTTCCCGCCATCCTGCCTGTTTACCGGTAACGTACGCGTCAAGTCGGACTAACACGTTAGTATTATAAAAATAATTTGTGGAAACCCTATCACGGCACTATAAATGGGCATCCAGCTAAGTCGAACCGTTCATGCATATACTGCATTAATGTGGTGAACGGAAATGGTTATTAGGTAACTGTAAGTGGCAATTTTTATAATTATTTTAGATAGAAACTAAACCAGATTTACTATTAAATAAAATCATTTCAATTGTTTTAGGTGATTCTGGACACCCTCAAAAGTCTTGGCTACTGACGCCAATATTGAATGCTGCACCTGGTTCTCTGGAAGAAGTGTATAGTACCCGTCACATCCAAGCAAAAAACTGCAATGAACGTTGTTACTCAAAGCATGTTAGAATTGTTTGCTTAAGCACCAAAACCAAGCATGTTGTGTATTGCATAATATTGTATTGCTCGTCTGCCACCACCAGTGGACATATCTGAACAGCATGATGATGATGGAGAGCCGGCTAGCTCCTTTGCTCCCAACAGTCAAGAAGAACTCATGTGTGGCACCGCAGAGCAATACTTTATTGCTTAATAAATAGATTGCTAGATGTGGTTTAATTATTTTAATAAATAAGAACTATTTTTGTCTTTACTAACTTTATTCTAGATTTATCTGTTTTATTACTTAAACTTAAAAATTAACTTCTATAAATATTATTCTGACCATAAACAATTTTTCCCATGTATAATATGACTCTTAGAATCGCAATATCTTACAAATGGTAACTCTTAGGAAAAAAATATCAGGACCATTTTTGTAGAGAATTTTAAGATCTACAACTTTGGGTTGAGGTTTTTTTGATAAAACTTACCGTTTTCGAGAAAAATACAAAAAACCTCAAATTTTGACCTTTGACTCTGAATAACTTTAGTAGCACACAGGATCGATGGGGATTTTTAAAACTTTATTTGTAATGGTAACCCCCAGCTCTCCACCAATATTTGGCTTTCTGGGATTTTTTGTTATTTGACCACTATTTTTATGTCTACATTGACCGGGCTATAAATACCACTTTACGTGTATTAATTACAGTTTCATACAAACTTTCATCCCTCATTTTACTCCCTTGTCATATTGAATTTCGAAAAATGCCAAGTTTCTGATCATTATTTTTTTAATAAATATATTTCTAATTTTTATCTTAAAGCTAAATATCACTTTGCCGTGCACTTACTTCACATTAAGTTATTTAAGAATGACAAAGTTCATACAATTTTTAATCCCTAATTTTACCCACTTATGGGATGAATTTTGAAAAAGTCTTTTCTTATGGGATGCCTACATTGTTTAGGAATACATCTTCCAAATTTCACCTTTCTATGACCAGCGGTTTAGGCTTGCGTTGATCCATCAGTCAGTCAGGATAAAGTATTATATATATATATATATATATATATATATATATATATAAAATACTTTATTTTATTTTTTATATAATTGTATATATAGATTATTAATGTATATATAGATAGCCTCAGACCTGAGAAGAACTGGCGAAAGAAACTCAGCGGGACCAATATCTTTTCTTAAAGTATAATCTTTTTTTAAAGTAAAATTATAATTTACAATATTTCTATAAAGTTGAAGTAGCCTGGAGGCGATCATTTCATTCCCAAGGTGTGCCATCTATAAAATCATTTATTGTATAATAGCCTTTAGCACACAAACATTCTTTAACAATTTTTTTGAATTTGGCGATAGAAGCCTTTTGAACGTTTTCTGGGATCCTGTTGTACATGCGTATACATTATCCATAAAAAGAATTACTGACTGTGTAGACGAGTCACAGGCATTACAAGTTTGTGTTTGCTCCTAGTATTAATGTTATGCATGTCATACTTCTTGGGAAATTCGTGTATATTTTTATGGACATACATAACATTTTCGTACACGTACTGAGAAGCAACAGTCAATATTTTTATTTCTTTAAACTTATCTCTTAATGACACTCGAGGACCTAGACTAGAAATTGCACGAATAGCTCTTTTCTGTAGGACAAAAATCGTATTAATAGCAGCTGCATTTCCCCATGGTAAGATACCATAGGACATAATACTATGAAAATAACTAAAATATACTATGCGAGCTGTATCTACATCAGTAAGAAGTCTTATTTTTTTACCGCGAACGCTGCAGAGCTGAGTCCACTCGCTAGCCCCTCAATATGGGGGCCCCACTGCCAGTTAGAGTAATGAAAGCAACAAGTTATTTATGAAAGATCTATGGTACATAGTTATTATAAAACTAACATTAAAGCATTGCTCCTGAATTCCAGCTTGGCCAAGCACTGCAGCCACTCCAATAACCGCCGCCACCCTCTCCTCCAAGGCAGTTAAAGCTGTGCTGCTGCTGGGACCACCACCAATGCTACTGGCTTGTAGCCTTAAGCTTAAATACTTCTTCTTGGTTTTAGTTTTCCACTCCACCCAAACCTAAATAAATGCATTTATTGTAAAGCAGTGTGAAATATCATTAATTTAAACTACATTAGGTCTTTACCTATGAAATTGCCGTTTTTCAATACTGGCCATTTGAAACGTATTGGTGAACCAGGGTCTAACCAACATGATGACCGCTTACAATTATAAATAAGAATCCATTTTTCATTGCTAGAGACAATGCGGTTCAAAATCCCTTTGTTTCTGTGTCTGTTAAGTAATGAAAGGCATACTAAACTTATACTAAAGTAAACGTTTGCCGCACTGGCGATCTTTCAATTCGCGCGGCACCTACTTAATAAGTTTTTCTACTTGCCAATTTGACACAAATGGACCAATATTGTTTTGATGCTAATGTTGAAAGGTGCTGCTAGCCCAGGCGTAGATTGAGTACCATCAGCTTTAACTATCATCTTTAATTCGTCGTTGTTGATTTTAGTTTACGGGCGACCACGGACGGGGTACACTTCATTAATGTTGCAAGCCGTTTTTACAGTATTTAAACTCAATTCATAAATTACTTTTCAAATGGCCAGCATTGCAAAACAACTACTTCAAAGACCTATTAATTAGTAAATACTATAATTATTACCTTTTTTCATTTATCTGATGATTTTTGAACACTACCAAGAGAATTTAACATATTAGTTAATCCCTGCCACAGCTGGTCACCTTTAATCCGTTCTTGAGGACCCGACTGTGGCCTGGAGAAATCCTCATGTCTAAAATATAAACATGTTGACAATCCCAAGCATTGTAGCAATATTAAAAGAATTTATTGATTTCTATAGATGATTTAAGTAATACAAAAATAATAATAATACCTTTCCATAAAATCTAATATAAATAACAGACAATTATTCTGGACTGGCTCTTAGCCTCGGTTCCATTACTAAAACAAAAATAAAAACTTTTAAAAAGTTGTGTAATATGACTTGAA